CCAGTCCTTAAAATAATATAGATACAACATTTGATTTTAATAATGTAGTAATAAATGTTGAAATTAACTAAGACTGATTTTGCTTTAGAAGTATTTCTCTAATGTAACTAATGTAGTAAAATAATAAAAAACAGAATCCAAATTAAAACAGACTACACAGAATTTATGAAAAAATTTAATTCAACGTTTCACATAATTAATCTATTATTGTTATTAAAATGTTAAATTAAGTTTTTAAATTATGAATTCAAATGATTAGACATCCTTTTTTTATTAATTAAACCATTCAAATGGAAAACAGGAAAGTAAGCGGCCCTAGGAAACTGATATTCTTTTAGGATTCTTTGATGAATAGAAAGTTCAAAATAACAATTTATTTGAAATGGAAATCTTTTGTAACATGATAAATATCTTCACTGTCACTTTTGACCAATTTTTGATGTGTCCTTGCATAATAAAAGTATTAATGTAATACTACTTTATTAAAAGTGTTAATTTATTTCAAAACACAAACATAGAACTTCCTGCCCCCAAACTTTTGAAAGAAAGTGTTTAATTATACATGTATATGATTATATTTTTATTATTATATATAAAAATACATTTGTAAATTTGGCTGTTGGGTTTGTGTAAAAAAAAATATATATATATTTTTTTGTGCTTACCGGAAATGGGAGGAAACATTTCATTTCTTTTGGAAGACAAATTATATCTATATCTGACTGTATCTGTGCAAATATACATTTTTATTCAAATGGTACTTTCCTCTGAATTTATCAATACTTTTTTGCTCTAGTAAAAAAATAGTCAAAAAATAAAGATCCATTAAAAAAACCCAAGCCTGTTTACTGTAGTCATGTCTTCTGCTCTTTAACCTTGTCTGACAAGAGCTTAGGAATGTGACAAACTAAAACCAGTTTGCTGTTTCAGAGAAGAAACAGATTTGTTTCATTATCCTGTGTTCTCAGGAGTGAACTGAAGCCTTACATTAGCACGCCCTTTCTCTTGCCTGTGTCTAGTAGCCTCTGTGTTGATGCTTTGCATTTGGCAAGCCACTTTTATCCAAAGAGACTTACATTGTAATAAAATCTATATATTGAATCCATTATATCAGTTTATCATTTATCATCTTATAAGTTTATGCATTCCCTTGATCAGTCCTCCACTTTAGCATGTGCGTGTGCTGGAGTCAAACCAAAACAGATCATACCTGTATGTTCACTACAAGTGTAACCAGAGTGAATCATGTCAGATACACCTCTGTAACCTTTACCTGCACCGCGATAGTCACTCAAAGACCATTAAGGTTTTTTTTTACCAAATAGATTTAAGCAAAATGTGTGGAACAGGGCTATTCATTAATTTGTTCTTACTCAGTTCTTATGTTGTGTATGGATCCATCTAAATGATTGTTTGCACAAATGATTTGTATAATGAATATTTGGTCTCAAATTATTTTTATCAATTTTAATGACATGACAAATTAGTGCCCTACTCGATCCCACTTAAATGAACATTTAAGGTTAATTGCAGTTTATAAAAACTGTCAAAAGTTGCCAATTACCACAGAAAATAGTGGTATTACCATTTTTTTCCCAATGTACACATGTAAATCCTGGGAACCCGGTAACTTCTACATTATATCTGTGTAAGGATACAAGGAAGAAACTGTTGATGCATCTAAATTTGTATTTTATCCAGAATGGCCCGTATACGGGCAACCTAAATTTACTTCACTATATTACTATTAAATCCTAATCTAGTCATGACAAACTATATATCGTTGGAAAGGTCTAAGACTCAAGAATACATATTTGTTGATGATTTTGCAGAAAAAAATATATTTTGGAAGATGAATGGATTAATATATGACAAGAGTGTGCATCAAAAAATCTGTATCATTACAGGAGTTTTCACCTTTGTAACAAAAAGTCAACAACCACTCTTTTAATCATTCAAACTTTGATTTGCATACTAAAAGTTCACAATAAAACATAGTCGTGCCCAGAATTAATCATACCCCTGGTAAATATGATCAAAACTGTCTGTAAAAAATAAATCTGCATTGTTTATCCTTTTGATCTTTCATTCAAAAAATTGGCAACATTCTAACCTTTCATTGAAGTAAAAGAATTGAAAGTGGGGGGGGAATCACATTATGAAATAAAAAATTTTCTCCAAAACACGTTGGCCACAATTATTGCCACCCTTTTATTAAATACTTTTTGCAATCTCCTTTTGCCAAGATAACAGCTCTGAGTTTTCTCCTATAATGCCTGATGATTTTGGAGAACACCTGACAAGAGATCAGAGACCATTCCTCCACACAGAATCTCTCCAGATCCTTCAGATTCCCAGATCCATGTTGGTGCTTCTCTTCAGTTCATTCCACTCATCAGGTCAGGGAACTGGGACGATCATGGCAGGCAGAAGCTTCATTTTGTGCTCCGTAACTAATTTTTGTGTTGATTTTGATGTTTGTTTTGGATTGCTGTCCTGATGGAAGATCCAACCACGGCCCATTATAAGATTTCTAGCAGAAGGCGTCAGGTTTAGATTTTTTATCTGTTGATATTTGATAGAATCCACGATGCCATGTATCTGAACAAGAAGTCCAGGACCTCCAGTAGAAAAATAGGCCCCCAACATTAAAGATCCAACGATATATTAAATTGTACACATGGGGTACTTTTTATCCTTGTGTGCACCAAACCCATCTAGCGTGTTTGCTGGCAAAAAGCTCTTTTTTTAGTTTCATCTGACCACAGAAACCTGTGCCGTTTGAAGTTCCAGTCGTGTCTGACAACTGAATTTGCTGGAGTTTGTTTTTGGATGAGCGAGGAAGATTTTTCTTGAAACCCTCCCAAACAACATGTCTTGATGTAGGGGTTGTTTGATCTTTTTTTTTGTGGCTTTCTGACCCACAAGACTAATCTCTGCAATTCTCCGTCTGTGATCCTTGAAGAGTCTTTGGCCACTCAAACTTTCCTCCTCACTGTCCATTAAGAAAATATAGACACACGTCCTCTTCCTGGCAGAATCGTAACATCTTTAGTTGATTATAACTTCTTAATTATTGCCCTGATGGCCAAAATGGGGATTTTCAATTCTTTAGCTATTTTCTTACATCCACTTTCTATTTTGTGAAGCTCAACAATCTTTTGATGCACATCAGAACTATGTTCTTTGGTTTTATTCATTGTGATGGATGATTAAGGGAATTTGGCATTTGTGCTTCCTCATTTTTAAACTCCTGTGAAACAAGAAGTCATAGCTGGACAATTTCATGTTCCTAGTCACCCTGGTGTGCTAAAAAAGGTAAATATTAATGGGAATATACTTCAGAGATATTTTATTCATAAAAAATTATAGGGGTATGAATAATTGTGGCCAACGTGTTTTGGAGAAAAACATTTATTTTATAATGTGATTTCCCCCCCATTTTCAATTCTTTTACTTCAATGAAAGGTTAGATTTTTGGCAATTTTTTGAATGAAAGATCAAAAGGATAAACGATACAGATTTATTTTTTACAGCCATTTTTGATCATATTTACCAGGGGTATGATTAATTCTGGGCACGACTGTATATAATCTTGTATTTGTCAATAAAAAAATATAAAATAATATTATCCTCTAAAAAGTACACTACCGTTCAAAAGTTTGGGGTCAGTGAGAATTTTATTTTTATTTTTTGGAGGAAAGAAATCAATACTTTTATTTATCAAGGACAGTAAAGACATTTATAATGTTACAAAAGATTCTATTTCAAACAAATGCTGTTCTTTTGAACTTCCTATTCATCAAAGAATCCTAAAAAAAAACTAAAAAAAAACTGTACAACTGACAGACCAACAACTGTTTCAACATTGATAATAATAATAAATGTTTCTTGAGCATCAAATCCTCATATTATACTGATTTGTGAAGGATCATTTGACACTGAAGACACTGACACTGGTGATGCTGAAAATTCAGCTTTGATCACAGGAATAAATTACACTTTACTATATATTCACACAGAAAACAGCTGATTTACACTGGAATAATATTTAATACTATAACTGATTTTTGTTGTATTTTTAATCAAATAAGCGCAGCCATGGTTAGCAGAAGAGAATTCTTTTAAAAGCATTTAAAATCGTACCGACCCCAAACTTTTGAACGGTAGTGTATATTATGTATATTATCCTCTAAAATATATTATTATATTTTTTGTCACCTTTTTTTATTACATCACATATTTTAGTAGTTATCATAAATTAGGCATCATTTGAAAGCTTATGAACTCTGAATTCACCCTGTGAAAACCATTTTGAAATTGAATTTTGCGTTACCATAGAAACGGTACTCTAAATTATTTGATCAGGCTCCGCCCCTTTTGGCCATCATCATGTTTCATAATTTATGATCAAAACCTTTTCTAATCATGACAAAACACATATTGTCAGAAAGGTCTGAGTCTCAAGGTTCCATATTTTTGTGACAGAAGTGATATTTGGACAGAAATGTTTTAATATGTTATGGCAGAATGCACACAATTAAATGGAATTCAATGTCACCCGGTGGCTATTTGTGGTATTACGCCTAAACAAAATCTCATGGGAACTTCAATGTTTGGGATATCAACTTCAAATTTGGAACACAACTTGGTTAGATATATGGCTTTGACTTTCTGTCATTTTTAGGCTGAAACCTATATTAATTTATATATATTTTTAATAAAAGAAAAATATATATTTTATTATATTTTCATAACAATAAACTTAAACTTCAATAACTTTAATATAATTTAATCCTATTAATTTATTCCACTTCAGCAATAATCTGCAAGAGTCTTCTTTTAAAAGAGATCAACCGTAAGTCTTTAGTCCAAAGGGTTCATGAATTACAACCGTTTAAGTTTGGGTAGTGCATTTTCACGTCAACGCTCAAAAAGGGGGGTGACAGTTAAGGGGTTAAATTACAGACCCAAAGCTAACTTTCTGCTTCTATGCTCAGGTCTGACAGAGACTATTCATCCTGCATTTGGCTGTATCTGCTCCATGACTTACCTGGCAGGCATGACCCTCTCACAGCAAAGATAAACCTGCATCCTCCAGCCTTTAACCGCCTCTGGTTATCACTACGGCCACAGGTCAGTGCTTTGGCATCCTGGACAGGAACTGTAGTAACAGTACAGCAGCTTTTTTGTGAAGCAGCAACATTGGAATATATATATGTATGTGTGTTAATATAAATATATTTATTTTATTTATTTATTTAAAGAGTTTATACTTTTATTCAACAAGGACACATTAAATTGATCAAAAGTGACTGATAAGACATTAAAGAATCCAAAATAAGTATCACAGTTTCCACAAAAATATTAAGCAGCATAATAAGAAATGTTTTTGAGCACCAAATCATCATATTAGAATGATTTCTGAAGGATTTTGTGACTGGAGTAATGGCTGCTGAAAATTCAGCTTTGCCATCAAAGTTGCTACAAAATTTCCACTGTTGATACCAATAGCGGATTATTAAGAGTGATATCTGCCGTTACCGATAACGATAGCTTGATTTTAAGGAAAATAAATCTCACCCAAATAATGCTGTAAACTATACAGGGAACCCTCTCATTTGCTGCATTACTATTATATTAGAGGTTAAAATTAACAACAGAGCCCTAACTATTATATTCAACTGCTATTTATTTTCAGATATAATAATTACACTCAAATAAAAAATTTAATGTTTGTATACAACTCAAAAGCACATAAAGTTGCTTTCATAAACACTTCAAGCATACATGTGTAATTAACAGTAAACTCCTCTCTAGTGTTTTTTATTTAGGCCTATAGCTAACTAACAAACTGAACATTGGATAACTTTCCTCAGGTAAATGCAACATTAAGTGACAGTTCACAAGCTGTTTTATTAACATCTTTCCGTCATTGAAACATGGATTGAGCGATTACATGAGACATGATACATTTCGGTAAGTTGTACTGTATCTTTTAATATACCTGTTAATGCATCTATATCATGTTTCATGGTATAACCTGTATTAAAGTGGAAGAAAAGACTCGCTGGCTACAGTGATTGGGCACGTCACAATTAAAACAGTTAAACAATTAAAACACAATTAAAACAAAACCCCATTTATTGTTTGAATTTTATGATAAAATGTACAGAATTTGAAAGCTGAGACAGCACAGCACTCTTTACAATTATTTGATGGCTATGTGCGCTACAAATAAAGTTTGGTGTAAAGAAAAACTGCGGACCTTGCAACCCTGGCTTGAACTATGAGTCAAATAGAGCCTGCTTTAACGTTGCTATTTTTTAACTGTTTATTGTTGCGTTAACTTAGACAGCTTTAAATTCAATACAAGACACTTTCTTCACACCCACACACACAGTCTGACACGTTTTTCAGCCCCCTTTTGATGGATGGTATAATTGGCCTTGATAATCGGCTGTTTTTAAACAATAGATTATTGGCTGATACATCGGTGTAGCCCTAATATTACTGTTTCTTCAAAGAAAATCTTGAACTGCTCTGAACGTTTGAACAGTAGCATAGTGCTGATCAACCTGGTCAATGGCATGTTTATGGAACCTGTTTATTTTTATGATTCCATTTGGTGGCACAAAAATGACATGCTTCACCCTTTAAGATTTTTTTTTCTGTCAAATTAATCGTTGAGCCATTACAGGTTTATTAAGACAAAACTGAGCGTCTAACAGTGTTTCTTGACTGTTTTAATTGTCTTCTGGCTGTCTTTTAGTTTTTCAGAACATAAGATGGAAGAAATCGATTCTGGGAGAGTCAAGTCCTTGCCAGAAGATTCAAATGTCCTGTCCACATATTCTGCTGACTCCATCAATATTGACGGTTGGCTATTTAACCCGTTTAGTTACTGTAGCCATTAAACTTGTTATCATCACAGGTCTTGTTTGTTGATGTCAATAGGGAGTGTATATTTACTCCTCTTCTACACAGATGGTCGTTATAATGCGCTGCGTGAAGATCTGGAAGCAGATGCTCGGGATTTTGAAGCTCCCACTTGGAGTTTAGCTGTTGACCAGCATTATTTGAAAAACTATTCCAAAGATGCCATTAAAAGGCAGGACGTAATACATGGTAAGGGGTGTGATAACTTGTTACTTTTTTTGTCTCGTAGAAATTTAATTTGAGCAATACAAAAAAAGTCTGTTGTTGTTTTTATGGCAGAGCTGATTCAGACTGAAATAAACCATGTGCGGACGCTAAAGCTGGTTTTGGGCGTATACGTGCGAGAACTGCGTGAGACCCTGCAAATGGATGAGACGCGATTGGAAAGGCTCTTTCCACAGGTGGATAACCTGCTGCTGGTGCACAAGCTTTTCCTCAACCGCCTTAAACAGCGAAGAGTCGATTCCATGGAGGCAGGCAGTACCCAGAATTACTGCATCCACAGTATTGGAGACATCCTCATCGCACAGGTATCTTTATCATATATCTGCTGTAGGATGTACATAGATATGTTAGATGCCCTAACAGGCAAGTTTATACTTGAGGCTTAATAGCTAGTTATACGACAAAGACTGATTTCTCTAGCTGCATGCTTTGGATCACCAAACTGTCAGTTATATCCAGTGTCCTTTTATATGATCTTTGAATCCACATTCCCCAGAGCTGAGCTAAGCAGCAGGTGCTTCCTGAAATGAATGGAATTATTGTTTTAACATTACATTAGGATGCCAAAAAGTGCCTTTTTTAAAATCTAGGTCATGCACATTTCTCAAGCCAAAGATTGATTGTTTTGCTTTAACTAAAAAAAAGGTGTTTTGACACTTTAGTGGAATATGTCTATAGTAATGTGATGAACTACATTGCTAGCACACTTCATACATCCACTAAAATCATCTTGACGTGAGTTAAGTCATTTTATAGCAAGTGGACAAGAAAAATGAATTAAGTTCTGAGAAAATGTTTCATATCATTCTAATGCATTAGAAGAAAGAAAACAGTTATTGTAAATTGTAATAATATTTCACAATATTAGTATTTGTATTGTACTTTTGATTAAATAAATGCAGCATATAGTGAGCATAAGAGACTTCTTTTAAAACCTTTAAAATAATCTTACAGACAGCAAACTTTTCAATGGTAGTGTGTATGATTAAAAAGAAGTAGTGTTCATTTTTCACGTTATTAACAGTGCTTAAATATTCAGGATATTTACACTCCTAAATGTTTCTTTATTAACTTCTGGTATTGTTTTGAAAATATTTTGTGTGTATCTTTGTTGCTCTCTGATTTGCATGTTTGTTTGTGTGTGTACTGTAGTTCTCAGGTGAAATGAGAGACAGACTGCAATACTGCTATGGAGTGTTCTGCAGTCACCATACCGATGCAGTCAACTTCTCTAAAGACTTAATGCAAAACAAGAAGTTCCTGGCTTTAATAAGAGTAAGACCTGACCTTTTGTTCTCAAGTAAAAAAAAAAAATAGTGTTGAAATAGTGCTTTATATAATATTCTTTTAAGAAATGATATATTTAGTGAATCATTTCACTTTCTGATAGTAATTTATTTTTCTGTCCTCAGAAAATACGTCAGTTGTCCATTATACGAAGATTAGGAATACCAGAGATTATTCTCCTTATAACGCAGCGCATCACAAAGTATCCAGTTCTGTTTGAACGTGTCATTAAATACACTGAAGGTACGTTTACTTTGCTTTCAAGAAAAAGTATCTGTTCTGTTTTGAGTTTGTATTGTTTTTGTTTTATTTTTGTTTTTTAATGTAACTCAAAAAAGTAGGACATTAAAATCTTAACATGTTTGGGGTCGGTAAGATTTTTTTTTTATTGTTCTTTACAGAAGTTTCTTTGCTAACCAAGGCTGCATTTATTTGATCCAAAATACAGTAAAAACAGTTCTATTGTGAAATGTTATTGCAATTTAAAATAAGTTTTCTATTTTAATATATTTTAAAATTTAATTTATTCCAGTGAGGGCAAAGCTGAATTTTTAGCATCATTTCTCCAGTCTTCAGTGTCACATGATCCTTCAGAAATCATTGTAATATGCTGATTTGCTACTCAAGAAACATTTCTTATGTTTAAAACACTTTTTTTTTTTTTTTTGAATAGAAAGTTAAAAAACGTTCTTTTTTTTTAAACTAATTTCAAACTTTAACGGAAATGTATACATGAATGTGAATGCAGAAATAATTGTAAATGAAATATAGCTGAAACATAAAAGTTTAGTTGTAGTTTGGTTCTATTACAGATACAAGGTACAGGTGTGTAGTTTTTATAATGTAAAAAGTGAAAAGTACTTAATTGAGCAGTATATCAGAGTTAATCTTTTAATGTCACTTTTGCGTGGCAGATTAAACCGTGTTTACAGAAATACAGTTTTCATTTAACATATTAATAATGGATATTGTGTCTGAACAGCACAAAGCATGTCCATAAGTCACCTTCATTGAGGTTGTATGATTTTTCATCCTTTTGACAGTTGACTCAGAGGAACATAAGAACTTGGTACGAGGTCTAGACTTGCTGAAAGAGACCATATCACAAGTGAATACTCATGTGGACGAGTTTGAGAAAGCGGCAAGGCTAAGGGACTTGAGCAGTAAGCTGGAGCCTAAGTCTCAGGTCAAGATGACCCACGGGCGAGTGTTCCGCAGAGAAGACATGGTACAGGGCGAGAGGAGGCTGCTTCACGAGGGCATGCTCAACTGGAGGTTAACTTCTAACAAAAGCAAAGGTGATCGTTGTATAATTTACATATCTATTAAAATCATGCCTGGACTTAAACTAAAATAGTATGGTTTTGATGCTATAAGTCATTATATAAAAAATGTATTATGTCATTTTGCTTCACTTTGGTCATTTGATAGGTGACAGACATTTCAGTATTTTCTCTCTTATTCCTTTAGATGTCCTTGTCTTGCTGTTGTCAGATGTTTTGCTGCTGTTACTGGAGAAAGATCAGAGACTTACCTTTGCCTCTCTGGTGAGCAGAATGTAATCATTTGCATTTTGTTTATGTATAACGTACAGTAGGCTTGCTGCGATGCAGTAGGCTTGAGTCTGTGTTACCGGTGTTACACGCTGTTCAGCCGTACACTATCACATTACTTGCCCACGTGGCACCGCACCACTGACGTTTTGCTTTTTTATAGAAATAAAAACCATTTAGTTCATTTGGACAACGGATGCTACAATTATAATCTGAAGGCGTCTTCTCTGCTCCATACAGCAAGAGCTGCAGTCACAGCGCAGTGCAGCAGAAGTCAGATTTCACTTATTACGTGTTGAGACTAGAGTAAGGTGAGATGACTGACAGGACAATGCAGGAGGATGTTGTGCGCCACAGATCCTGAGCGTCATTGACAAATATCCCATTTTGTAAAATGTGTGGTCCGTACCACTGCTCCCTATACACAGAGTACACGTGATCGTAAATTCAAAAGGGATTTCAATACCCCGCATATAGGAAGCGTCTCTCTGATGTCCGTAAGTTTTAGGCCTATTGACAGAGTACGCGTGATCGCGAATTTAAAATCGAAAGTGAAAAGCGAGCCCCCCACCCGCCGGTGTTATCGGTAGTAACGGACATCCCTTGCATACAGTTGCCATTATCATTAAATGTCAGCATGTTCTCTGCCCCTGTAGGATGGTAAGCCTGCAGTGATTTCACTGCTGAAGCTCATTGTGCGTGAAGTGGCTCATGACGAGAAGGCCATGTTTCTGATCTCCGCATCCTCGGACACTCCTGAGATGTACGAGTTTCACACCTCCTCCGGAGAGGAGCGCAACATCTGGCGAGACAAAATCTGGAAGGCCGTGGAATGGTATGTTTCATAAACATCTTTGATGTTTAAATCTTCTCTTTTTTTTTTTAAATCCACTACCGTTCAAAAGTTTGTTGGTAATTTTTTTAAGTTTTTAAAGAAGTCTCTTATTCTCCCCAAAGCTGCATTTATTTGATAAAAAATACAGTAAAACAGTAATACTGTGCAATTACAGTAACTTTACTTACAATAAACATTTCTTATTGTTATCAATGATGAATATTTTGGGGGGAACGGCGATACATTTTTTTCAGGATTCTTTGATGAATGTATTGAGGTTTGTTAAAAAATAGTTCAGAATAGTGAAATCTAAGTAATATAAAATTGTGTCTGGGTTTTTTTTTTTTTTTCTAACATTATTATTCTGATTATGTTTCAGCTGTCCAGAAGATGAGGAAGAGGAGCCAGAAGAACTGTCTGTGAGGATCCGGGACTTTCAAAGTAACATGCACATTTCTGTATCACAATCTATGATCAGTCTTCCTTCCACTACTGTAAAATGAATTGATGTCACAATTAACGTATTGGCTTTTCTTTTTCAATGCTGTTTTCTGAGTAGTGAAGCTTTCTATGCGGGATGCATTGATAGAGCAGAACCTTACAGAAAAGCTGAGGTTATTCACCGGCATTGCAGCCTATGTGACAGGTGTTACTGACAGCTCACCAAGTGAGCGCCATCTGCTGCGTTGGAATGCAACAGACCCCCTGCAGGGGGAACAACTTCTCGCCAGAGCCCTAAAAGATGGTGAGACTTGCACTGGAAAGGGGGAAGGGGAATTCATGCTTCTATTCAGATTGACATCTTAAGGTATTTCTCTGCAGAATAAAGTGTAAGCTTGGCTTACCTTTTATTTACATTTCAAGTGATAACCCTTCTTAGGTGCTGTTGTACTGTAATTTTGAATAGTCACATTTTAAGACATTTTTTTAGGTTAATATATGCTAAAGTTGAATACTAAAGCATGGTGGATTGTAATCTATGTCTATAATCTTTCTTCAGTGGAGATTTTACAAAACTTGCTGGTAACATGTGAGCAGGGCCAAACTCCTCCTCCTGGTGAGGGGATGGATCTGGTGCCACTACCCAAGAGACCTGATGCTTTCAGAGGCTTTGAGAGCGATACCTACATGCTACCTGGAAGTGAGAGAAACTTTCTTTATTTCATGACATTAATGTAATGGTTACATATTCATTGCCATTGACCGATGGACTGGTTGTTTGTAGATGGTATTGCGAGTTTAGTGGAAAGATCGAGGGATAGAAGTCAGTGGTCCATCCCTCAGCTCAGAGAGCTTTATTCTAATGAGAACCTGGAGCTGTCGGTGAGCTGACACTGCAGTATCACGCTTGTTATTTTTTTGGAGAAGTACTGGTATAAACCAAAATGTATGTTCTTGCTTTTGACCCATTAGGCAGATGAGGAGATAACTCTAGAGAGCTGGAATGCGTATCTGTCAGTCTTCTTCCCTAAAGCAGAGGTGAGATATAATATTCTTTGTGTGTTTGGAATAAAGAAGCCGCTTTTCCTCAAAACTTTGGATGATTGACAGTGTGATGATAACTGTAAAGTGGCCTATATACTATCTCTGATAAACCACAGACTGAAAGTCATTCATTTACAAAGAGAGAATTCTGGGAGTTCTGACCATATGCGAATCCGGAATTTTCTGATCCGATTTGATTATCTTCGTTTAAGTAAAAATATTTGAACTTTTGCGGCTAGATTGTATGAGTATGAGTGCAAAGTGAGAATTACCAATATTATTTCTTTATTTGTCCACTAAAACATCATTCTGTAACAGTATTTCTGTAAAATGGGCCGTTATGAATAACTTTGTCTGAAATTATTTTATAACATTAAATAATTATTTACATTGATCAGCTCTAGAAAAACCTATTTTTAGTGTCTTTTGTTCTGTGTGGACTCATCTACTGACTCTTCATTCAGTTAAGTGTGGTGAACAAGTGGATGGTGCTTTCAAAGCAATTTGAAAGTTCTTTGCAAAATGCAACAATCGTATGCGAATGTCGGAGAAGGTTAAAAAGACAGTTTAAGGTTGAATGATGTTGTCACTCCCTAAAAAAACCAAATCCAATCCTATTTATCCAAACCTGCCTCACTGTTAAAATTGTATATGAAATTTGACCAGGTCAGATTTCATGTTTGTTTTTTTTCCCAATTTTTCCCATATTCTCTTGTGTAGTCAACTTACTTTAAACATATGTTACTTTTATTGATCATATTCTGTTTTTATCTCCACAGCTTTATGACATTGTAACTAAATTGTCTCAGAAACTTTACAGCCTTCAGGTAATCCAAACTCTAAATGTGCATTTCATGTAGTGCTTCTCTCGTAATTATCCAATGATTCATTACCTGTTGCCTATGATAGTTTTAAATAGAAGATTCATCTGTGTAGATCCAGATCAGCACAACATGAATCTTTGATTTCCTTATCCGTTCCCTTCCTTCCTCAGTCCATCGTCCAGCAGCAAGAGAGCCACATCGAGGTGCAACGCGCCACTATTGAGGAGCTGATGTCCAGACCCAGGGGCAACTCACTCCTGGAGAAGGAAAAGCATCGGAACCTAGAAAAGCAGCGCGAGGAGCTGGTCAACTTCCAGCGGCTCCAGAATCAGCACCGACAGGAGCAGCAGCAGTGGGAGCAGCAAAGAGCCTGGCAGAGGGAGCAGGCAGAGATCAGGGAGAAGGAGCTGAGGGAGAGAGAACTGGAATGCAGCAAACAGGAAGAAAAGCTGGCGGAAGACAATCAGGAACTGGCCAGGGGCAGAGCGCAATACCAGGAGGATCTGGAGCGCCTTCGAGACTCTACACGTAATGTGGAGAGGGAGAAAGAAAAGCTGGAGCAGTTGGAGAAGAAGTTTAAGAAGTATGAGAAGAATGAAAACATACCCAAAATTGCCATCTTTCCCCTGGAGAATGAACAGATACAGGTTTGGGCAATATTATATTATATCTGAGAAAAATGTACTGATCTTCTAATACCACTGATATTTCATACTACACATTAGTGCACTTGCAAAATAAAACAATATATTCATTTCAGAAGTTTGTTTATTGAATATATGTGCCATTTGTAAATCAGACAAAGTTTCCTTTCTCTCTCTAGTTACCTCCTCCACCCTACCCTATATTGAATGTGGTTACTCCCAGCTTTGAAGAGAGGCCTCCCCTGGTACCACCACGCAGGGAGAGCATCACAGCCCCTCCTGTTAAAGCAGAAGTGCCCATCCACCTCATTAGTACCACCAACCAATCCCACAAAGCCGGCTCTGTCCAACAGAAGATCCCCACTAAGCTGGCCGCTCAACCTAAAGGCAAGGAGAAGCACAGCAAGCACAGGAACTCCCACCAGCGCACCAACAGCGCAGGTAAGAACTGCTTTATGACCTCCATCACATCAGAGTGTGAGCTGATACCTTTTCTGGGCTGTCGTGTAGAGGTATCAGTTGGTTTTAGGTGATTTCGATTTTGAACTTGAACATCTTCTCACACTTTTAGCTGGCATAGAGGTGTCTCAGTTACTTCCCATCAAAGTTACGGGAAAGGAAGGAGGCAGTTTAAGAGCCATGAGATCCAACAGTCCTCACCAACTCCGCCCAGGTGAAACTTCTTTATTCTGTCTCACCTCACGTACAGCTTCTTTCTATCTTAGGATTTGTTTAATGGGATAATTTTACTCCAAACCTCTTACACACTTCTTTGTACTATGTGTATCTTCATATTGCTTACACGCAGCACTGTTTTAGTCATTTAAACCATTCATAGTTGTGTTTCTGCATTAGTAAATCTATTTCTGTGGTGTTTCTGCAGATATCTTTATGCCACCAGAGAAGTCATCTAGCTCTGTGCCCTCTTATTCAGGAAATGCCATCAGGAGGCACAACACCACTCAGAACACACACAGTACCCAGCCAGTGCAACGTAAACCCAAAGACAATGCAGTTGCAGAAGACATTTATTTCTTTTAATGTCCCTGTGTGATCTGTAGGACTACAACATGAATGCAGAGGGTTTTTTCCTCTCTAACATGACCTGCACTGACTCAAATGTATTTTTTAAAGAAATGAAACAGTCTTGGTTGTAGTCTTAATCATGATTTCTGTTTTTACTCTTATTTTTACCTTTAATATTTGGGAGGAATCATTCCTGGCAGTACTTAGTTTTATGGCTCTTACATTAACCCTTTTTCCTAAACAGTCTGTTTCCTGACAATCACAGTATCATGTTCAGTTCTCCATTACAGAGTGGTCTTTGTCTTAACAATTTGTCATTCCTGTAAATAGCTGTTTTTAGTTATTTATTGTGATTTTTATTTCAGGGATGTTTGGCCCCATAAGCGTTACACTGCAAAAGTCTTCGTGTTCTTCTCTGGACTCTTTATAGGATGTATGTAATCAAGAACTTCTCAGCTGTGACATTTAAAAAAAAATATGTGGAAGTTTTGGTTTAAAATGTAAATTTCCTTTTTTCATTTTCTGTCCATTTTCTGCACAGATCAAAGAATCTTTTACATTGTTTTGTGTGTCAACTGGAAAATAATGTTATATTTGAGCAAATATTTTGTAGTGTTTTAGAAAAAATGAGCCTTGTTTTTCTTTATGACGGAGGATATATGTTCTTAACTACTAAATGTCAGAGGTACCACCTCTTATTTCCTTTTAGTTTTGTCTCATTCGTTTATACTGTACATAACTAGATCATGGCACAATTCTGTTGATTTAATTTTGGGAAAATACAAACTTTCTTCATTAGAAACCATACATTTGTAAATAGTACAGAGCAAATACAGCTTTTTTGTTCTCTCAATAAGAAACTGTTGCACTTAAGTGCTTGCGATTTGCTCAGTAAAATGAACAAACATAAAACCTGTGTGTGTTTAGTTTTCCTTCACATTGTTTGTTATTCAAAAGAAAAACTAGGGAATGTCAGTGACGCTAAATTCACTCACTTCATGTCCTATAAATTGATCACAAAAAAATCTGTTTAAATAAATTATTAAATAGTTGTGTCTCAAATGACGCACTATGTACTCAACTGTGTAGAGTATGAACTTTATCATTCTGACAAAACCTTATAAAGTTCATAGTATACACTACATGGTTGAGTACATAGTGCATAAATATATAGTGTATAGTGCAGATTTGAATGTTACGGTTTAGACAAAGCTGTGTTTAGTCTAATGAACATGTAAGCTAAGAAGTAATCTACCAGAGCATGGACTGATGAGATTCCTAGTACTTGGGGAACAAATAAAAAATTATAAAACACATTTTATTTGTGAATGAAAACATGTCTCATCTTCAAAAATATTAGAGACTTTTGTCAATAAATTGCTTAAGAACATCACATGTTGTGATCTCGAATATGACATGGCTTAATTAAATGCAGCCCAAGATAAAATAATTTATTATTCCACTATTAGGCCCAGTTCTTTTGATATTTTTAAGCATGGGTAAAAAAAAAAAAATAAGAATGCACTATTTTTGGTTACAGAGGGCAAAGAAATTCAGATTTGCTAAAATGAGTACTACAAAACTTTTCAAATTGTTTTAATAGATTTTTTTTTTTTTTTTTTTGGGGGGAGAGTATAGAAAAAGCATTAGATCCCATATATGTTCAAATACTAGCATTTTAGCAGAACATCCAATACCCACAATATTAGAGTATTATAGGCTATGCATTGTATTGGGGGTTCATACTGTAAATTGTCATTTTATGAAAAGAGCACCATGACCATTCATGAATGAAAGAAAAACTTAAGGACTGAGGTTTTTCATCATTTTAGTCTTCATTTAACTTTAAAAAAAGAAAAAAGGCTATTTTGCCCAGGGCTCGACAACCTTTGACATGAAGTGCCTTGTTTTTTTGTGCGTGTTCGTTATGCAATTTGGCCTTTAGCTCAGTGCGGCTCATTTCATGCACAATAGTTTAAGTTTCATGCTTTTTCCCCCCAGCTTGGTCATGGAGTTCAACATTAGCCTGGAGTTAGAACTCGAGTCCAGTGAACCTGCTGAGAGTAAGACACAATTATACTATTACACTTTACCAAATACTTTTTGATGTGGGAAAAAAATTACAAATAGTATTTTACAACACATTCTTGCCAGTAATCATACTAAGTAATTTGCAAGTGCTCTCATATAAAACACCACAATACACAGTTTATAACATAATGCATTATTCCTTTAATATATGCACTCAACAACTGACTTTTACAGCATATGTTGACCTGTTGATTTATTAATACTGCAAGAGTATTAATAAATGGACAGAACTTGATTACAACTTGTCCAAGTTATTCCACATGATCACGGTGTACCCAAGTCAAAAAGATTTCAATGAGACAACAGCACAACATAAACTTCTTAAATAAACTCGATGTAACTTCAGATTGTTAAATCATACACAAAGACATATCAGTGCTTTACACTGGAAAAACAACTTTAAAAAAAGTACCATGAATACAAAATTCCTACTATAAAACAGGACTGTCACTCAACAGATGGGCAGGAAAGTAACCTTAAAAAAGACCTCGAACATCCCTTCCATCAAGTAAACAGCAAATTCTAAATACAATACTTTTAAATAAGCCATGAGCATATGATTATGATCTATATCAATGCAACTAAAGTTGAAGTCACATTCCAAACCAATACGGAAGTTTTTGTTAAATTATGTGGCCATGTATAACAGCACTGCTCTTAATTATACAGCATAGCGTAATATAAACGCTTAACAATCTCAATCCACAGCATTCGCATCTCAGAACTAAGGATGAAACGAATAAATCATTATTCCCGACGCCTTTGGCTCATTCGGTCCTTATTAGCACCGTATTTAAAATGATGTGATACTTCAGGGCTGTTGTGACAAGAACCCGTCACTAATGCATTATCAACTGGAAGCCAAATTTTTTTTTATTTTTTTTTGTGAGCCGTCTTGAATTTTCTGGACATTTGTTTTAAAATGTCTAGCTGCACTTTGTTTCATTTAGTGAAAGGCTGTTTTTACAGTCTATTTACAAACAAAAAGAAGAGAGAGAACAAAATGAACACAGAGTTGAAATCCATGTGAAGAAGATTAAAACTGTCCCTTCGACACCCTCCTAATACCATCAAACGTAAACTTGAAACAAGTTGGATGAAGCACAGCAGGTCTCCATGTTTTTCGGTTCAAACAGACTGTACAATTTCAAAGGCTTAAAACAAGTGCACTGAGATGTTCATACTGCTCAAGTCTATTACATATATGGTCAGATATATAACTGACTTCAAAAAATGAACAAGAAATTAGCATCCTTCCAGTCTTTTGTTTTTATTAAGTAGATGCATCTGTAAGATGCGGAACTTCTACTTGGGCTGGTGGAGGAGGGTCCTCACTCTGATTGGTCGTTTCAGAGTCTGGCGGCTCCGGATTGGACTGGGGTTCATCTGTGGACGGTCCTGGGGTTTGAGTACAGTTGATTTGTTCCATCACAATTGGAGGAGGCTGAGGAAGAAATGAGAGAGAGACAGAAAAGTAAAACTTTCATTTAATTTTGATTCAGAAATCATTTATATATGCACACTACATACATGTTTGAGGTCAGCAAGAGTTGTTTTAAAGAAATGATTGAGATTCATCAAGGACACATAAAATTGGTCAAAACTAGTGATCAAGACATGTATAATGTTAAAAGATTTCTATTTCACATAAATTATGAACTTTCTATTAATCAAAGATTTCCACAAATATATGAAGCAGCACAGCAATCTTCAATATTGATAAGAAATGTTAATTGAGCAGCAAACCAGCATATTAGAATGATTTCTGAAGGATCATGTGACACTGAAGACTGGAGTAATGATGCTGAAAATTCAACTTTGCATCACAGGAATAAATTACATGTTAAAATAAATTAAAATAAAGTAATTTTAAGTTGTAAGGTTTACTCTGTTTTTGATCAAATAAATGCAGCCTTGGTGAGCATAAGAGACTTACTGGCTTACTGGAATTTCAAGCAGAAGAAAAATGTATGTATTAAATGTATTTATGACTTAGTGAAGGAGCAAACACTCAGAGGAGATGACAAGGATCAGATTCTTCTCTACTTCATACAGAAAATCACCATAGATCAACTTAAGACCAACCAATCTCCAGGCCGATAAGCACTGTTAGCTAAAGAGCTGAGGAAATGAAACATAAGCCCATGAGCCCCTTCCCGTACACAGATCTCTTACCAGACCTAAAGGAGAGATCCAGTGTTTATCAACCCATAGTGACTAGTGAGTGGTTTTAACTCGTGTATATCAGTCTGCAGCACAGCATTTCCTGTTACTGTGGTTTAGAAGAGGGAACAATTGGATTTAATCAATTCAGTCAAACAGGCATTTGTCTGAAGCCTTAAAAATCCCTGTAAAATCTTTTAAACAGAAGGTAGAGTTTCCATTCAGGGTCTCTGGGATCTATGCCACAGACGTTTATAAACATCTTCAGACAAATGCCTGTGAAATCAAAGAATGTAAATGGCTGATTGTGTGATAATAACAGGTTGGTTCACCCAAAAATGAAAACTCTCATGTTGTTCCAAACCTGTGAGACTTCGGAAAACAAATGAAGATATCTTTAAATGAAATCTGAGAGATTTCTGTTCCATTGAATCGGTTACGAAAATCTGATGCTTCAAAACATTCATAAAAAGATCGTAAAAGAAAACAATATAAATCGAGCAGTTTAATCCAAGTCTTTTGAAGAGACACTATTGCTTTATATGATGAATAGATTCAATTTAGGCTTTTATTAACATATAAACATTAATCATAGAGCACTCAAATTTGGTAAACAGAAGTTCAAGGATGCTTGCTTGACACGCAAGAACCAATGAGGTTTGTTCTTGTTGGGTTGAGCTCCCATTTACCATATTTGAGTGAATGTTCACAGATCAATGTCTAAATTACATCTATTCATCATATCAAGGTATTGAGTCTCTTCAGAAGACTTGAATTAAACCGCTCAATTCATATGGATTTATTTTACGATCTCTTTGTCAACGTTTTGAAGTGTCACATTTTTAGGGTGATGAGACTTTCAATAGAGCGCAACAGTCGGGTTCCGGAAGTAAAAACTCTTTTAACGATTACTAATAAACCTTTAAAAATAGACCTACTGTGAGCTACGAGGATGTTAATCTGTGGTATTTGCTTCTGTTGAAGCCGTCAGCCCGCATTTTTTCAGTGTATTTTTAAAATAATCATATTTAACAGCTGAATTTATCATTCAAAACTACATTACCCATGATGCTGTACAGAAAATTGCACCAATCAGTGAGTCGAAAAAAGCGAAATGTGCCAAAATAGCTCTTTAGCTCCGGCCACTCCCATGAAGCACTGCAAATTATGTAATCGAGTCGATCTCTCTAAGCTCTCAAAATACTTAAATGTTTGTATATATGCATATTTTGCAATAAACTTAAAATATATACAGCATTTGTACATGAGAAGTTTTATATTTCTCCATTTTTAATTCGATTATGCTGTTCTCAATGCTTCATGGGATTGTAGTTCTTTTTCTCACTATAGCCGTTAAGTACACATTCTTGTACCTTTGTCATTTTGTCTGATTTTTTTTTTTGCTTCAAATCCAAGTTTTTAAATGTTATGATTCATGATACGCTTTTTAAAAATCCCTATGGGAGAAATGACTGGGAAAAATACTTCCTGAACCAGTGCTGCTGAAAAAGGGGGTGGGAACTAATGCAATCTATGGAGGGAAAGTCTTATGGGTTTGGAATGACATGAGAGTGAGTAATTGATGACAAAATCTTCATTTTTGGGTGAACTACTCCTTTAAGAACAATTATACATATTATACATATTGCAAATGAACGTTTTAATCTTAAGGTACAGGTTGACACCGAACCCCTCCTTTAATAAAAAGAAGACACCCACAGTAAAAATGAGAGCAAAATAAGAGCGGAACAAAAAACACGCGGGTGGTTTTACTCAACTGTAATTCTAGTAACTGTACATAACCCTAGAACTTTTCCGATCGAAGAAGGCACTCATATCAAACTGGTATTCACCACAAATCCACTTCCTGTCCAGAACAAAGGCAACTCCTTGCGCCACAGCGCCACCGCAAGGCTGGTGAGAAGTGTGCAAGGCACCAGGTATAAGAGGGCAGGCTGACCCATCTGCATCAGAGCCAGAGCCACAAATGTGATGAGAAGACCAATGCCGTAGCCTAAACAAACAGAGATCATTCACAATCTTTCAATGATAAGCACCATGTACTGTACATGCTTACCAAATAACTCAACTAAAGCATGAGAGTAGAGATATTGCTCTACAGTATGTCAGATATCTTACCACATTAAACATATTTGAATTTAAAGGGTTGCCAGTGTCTTACCAATAGTGCAGGCCAGAAAGTATATTCGAGAAGTCTGCATGAGAATGTCAAATCTGTGACAATACGCTACAAGCAAACCTGAGGACACAAAATGAAAAAGAATCAAATTATCAAAAAAGGCTAAAAGGAAGAAAAGAACAACAGAAGGATGTTGAAGCAGAGTTTGATTTCAATAACTTTTCTTAAAAACAAAGAAATCAGATTGTATATTTGAAGATTTTCTAAATCTTTAATAACATATTTTATCAGGCTTGATATGCAGAGGCAGATGGCCAAGTTTGCCTAATATTTTCGCTTTCTTTTATTGAAACAACCAAAAATATGAATCCAACAATCAAAAATATAACAATAATAAAAAGTCAAATTCGATTTGGAAGGCGAAACCATTAACCGCAGTGACGTTTAAACATGTCAGCATTGTGGACACTTTACCGTGACTAGAAAGGATGCTAAAGTAGCATTATGTAAATTTAGTTTGACTAAAAATTTCTAGTTAAAAGTTTCTAGGCTAAAACTAGTTTAATTTATCACAATAATCAGCTTACCAAGGTCAATGACCTACACATTATTTTTCGTTTTTGCCTAAATGAAGACTTTAATTTCAGTTTTGGTAAAAAAAATAATTTCAGTGCATCATCACTTTCTTTCCATGAACTCTGGAAATCTGTTCATCATGCAGCTGATGCAACAACAGTAATGATGTTACCTGGTACCAAGATATCCCCGAAGCCCAGGAGAGAGAAGGGCCGGTCACACAGGACCAGAGGAGACGAATTTAACCTGGGCACTTTCAGCACCATGGGAAGCTAATGAAGACAAAGATGCCCAAATTGACACCACAAAACAAAACAAAACTTTATTTATATGTATCCAAATTTTCCCTTCCTACCTTTTCATGAGTAGAGGAATCAGAGGGACCAGCCGCCACCTCAACCATGATACTTTCCCCACTCTGCATGGGACAATAAACAAATATATGCTAAAGAATTTTCTTTCTTTTTTTTTGCATCAATTTTAAAAACGAAACTAAGAAGAGCATTGTACCTCAGTTAAGAGTGGTGTTATGAAAACAAAAAACACGTCATACACGAACAGCACGACCAGCAGCAGAGTGCAGGCCTACAATGAGAAGACAAATCAGTAGGAAATGCATCACCTCCACACGCTAAGGTAATCGTCAGCATTTTAAACTCACCTTGAAAGTAGGCAGCCTGATTGTTTTCAGCATGTAGAGACAGAAAGCGATGCCTAACGCATCCTGAAGTATCCACGCCCACCTAGGGAACATGATTTTTCATCAGATACCATCCGTAATAGTGCCGAAAGTGTCAAGAGTCTCAAGACCTAAAGTGGTTTTCACTATTCTTACTGGTCTTCGTTGCGGAAAACTCCCCAGGTGACGCTGACTCCTATACAGAAGGCTGAAAGGACCAGCATGCGCACCTGTGGCCGCTTGTGGCAATATGGCAAGTTATTCTCAGGTATCCTGTCAACACACAAAGCATCTCCTTCAATACAAATCTAAAAGGAAAGAATCTTATCTTGTCTTTCTCATGCACATCTCTGACCTGCATTTCCCAAATGGCAGTCTTCGGACAAAAGGCCAAAGACAGCTATACAGACCGACAGCAGATGCCAGACAGAACGTTGCTATAGTCATATATACTGTGAGAGAAATGTAGAGGAATAAATCAAATCATCCAAAGTACACAGTTTGTTGAATAACGGTAATACTTAAATTATTTATTTACCCAATTGATCATAGAAGAAATATAAGAGCACCAGCATAGAGCAGCACATGACCACAAACACACAAATCATGATGGGGGTGACGTCAACGATCTCCTCGTCTTGTTTCTCTGCACCGTCGTCCCTTTTGTGCTTCATGTAACGTCTGCCGGCACACAGATGTGGGTTTAGTTGAATAAACTCTTATTTATCCTGCAACCTGTGCCTCAAGGGCTCACAATGTTACAAGGGAACAATTCTTACTTTTTAATGTCCCTGCTGCCAGCCCAATATCCTCCGACAGCCACTGTACCCACTGCCATCAGAAAGATGAGCACCATGTTGTAGTCCACCACCGGTTCATTGGGCGCATACATGGCCACCTGCTGTTTCTCCCCAAACTTCTACAAACATAAATAAATGCCTTTTAAACCTTTATTAGCTTTGTAATTTCAATGTGATGTGTGTTAAAGTGATTTTGATTGGACCATTTCAGTCCAAAGACAAACTGCTCTTGTGGAAAATTACCTTACTGATGTCCAGCATGTCTTTATAGCTTAGCAAGGCCACTGGGATGCCTATCTCCTCATACTGGGACTTGTTGCCTGAGGGTGGAGTCTGTAAAGGATGTCAAACAAACTTATTGTGACTCCTGTGAAAATGTTTTAACGACATTAATGGTGTTATAGTCTTACCAGTCTATCTTTGCTGACGATCAGTAGTCCCTTGGCACCATTGATCTGGGCCAATCGGACTTTTTCATAGAAAGTGCAATTTCCTCTCATCACCATTGGGATGCTGTTTGGGAAGCCACCCTCGGGTACATCAGAGGGGGAGCACAGGACAGAGGTGGTGAGATCGTAAGTCTGCAGCCGTGCCTGAAAAAACAATAAAGGATGAATGAGTGCCAGTATTGTGATGATAAATTGTATACTGCAGTTTCAGATACAGCAGAGGGTTCTGTTGGGAATGAGGCCTTTTATCATGAAATCATTCTGTGTGTGTGTGTGTGTGTGTAAAATGTAAATTGCTACTAACTGCTTTACTGAGGTCCTGAGGTAGTCGAGCCCACTGAGAGTTGAAGAATATGCAGTAATCTTTGCCTTTACTGTTCCCCTGATCGCTGAAATGTGCCATGCCATATTCACCTAAAACCTGTGAATCAGAATGGATACAGCTCAGGTTATTGGTTGGGCTTGCTGAAGGAAAAACTGACAATAGGAAAGAAATGTGTAAAAGTCTGAGGGTGACATGAGAGGTGGCATGAACTTGCATAAAGCTTTTTTTTAACCCTTATAAAACCATTCATATCCAGTGACTTATGTATTCTAATTACAAAAAGTTTGACTTTCAAATACATTGCAGGACCACATTTAGAAATTGTGTTGCTTTTGCTTTCGTGTTACTGAGGCTAACACGATGAAGTTAATTATGAAGTTATAGGCTAATTATGAAGTTATAGATCATCATAATTAGCCTTTCCAGCAGAAATATTTACATGAAGACAGAGCTCATTGTGACCCACACAAACACAATACACCATCACGTTAACACATGACACTAAAATAATTATATTAACATTAAATGGAATGAACATAATACTCCAATGTGCATAACTAATAAGAAAAAAAAATACACTACATTTAAAAAAGAAATATACTGTATATATATCAGGCAATTCATACTTTTTACATCTAATTTAATATAATTTTGGTAAGGTATATGGTAAAGTAACTTACGGTTTACCAACTAAAGGGGTTTTGATGTAGCATGTTTATATTCGTCTTCTGGAAAATTACTGACATTTCCAGTATACAGTCTCACTGTTTGCAAAATACACATTAAATCACATTAAAACAAAGGTTTGCCATTATTGATGATCCAGCAAAAATGACAGTTTGTCGCTCGTTTAATCAGTGTTGTAGATTTGTTTCGCGGTAACAGTGTCATGTCAACAGGAGTGCGAGAGGACTCGGCCGCGCGGGCCCCAAACATGCACGAGCACATCCCTACTGACGTCCACCGAAAGCTAATCGTCTATAGCAGGTAGCCAGTAACCATTGGCAAACAAATTAAACAAACTGGGTACAATCCTTTTGAGAAACCCACCAAAAAGCAAACAGGTTCTTTTGTGTCTTCTTGCGTCTTACCTGTTTTAACAAAAGAGCTGCCCAAAGGAGACTTGACAAAAATCTCATGATGCCTGAATGTTGTTGTCGTCTCCCCCATCCGCACTACGCTCAGCAGACCCAACCATCAGCTGTTTAAACATATCCCGCCCACATTTTGCAGTACGTTGCCGATTGGCTAACTTCATCTACTGCCGACCTTTCCACTATTGCTCTATTGGCTTTCACTCTAGTCAATCAAATTTTGGTCCCACCTTCACTTCATAAAGTCCAAATTTGTCATTCCTTGGAATGGAAACATAATATCCTACGGTTAATGTTAATGTAGGCGTACTGACTTAAACCTTGGCTGCAAAATACGTATAGACATTTTTCAATAACAAATGCGTTATTTTATTTTTTGACAGATTGAAAAAGTATGTGCCACTGCCACATGTAAGGAAAGTGCTTAATATACTTCGCCCTGCCTAAAATTAAATCGCATTTGCACACATTGAATTTCAAACTCATGCATCGACGTCACTTTTTTGTTCATTCTTGAAGTTAACTTTTCCTTGTCTATATAGAATACATTCACTGTTTGTTTGGACTGCTGCCTTGAACTTGAGCACGGCCTTTGTTTTTGTTCCTTGATTTTGTTGTTTTCTTTTGTTTTAATGATATGCATGTTTACGTTATTAACCTATCATATTTTATTTATCATAGTATTGTTTATTACAATGTTTGAATGAATGAATGAATGAAAAACATTTTTTACAAAAGGATCAAAGAAAAAAGTGGATTGATGCTGGTCTTCCACTACACTCAAATCCTGCTGCTTACATACATTTAAAGTCAAGAGAATTTCCAGAGAAAATATGGTTAATAGAGTGTATTTTGACTTACTAGACTTATTACTGATTTAATGTGCAGAACTTGCCAGACTTTGCAGAACACATTTTATCTGAGGAGAGCAAAAAAGTCTTCCGTGCTTTTTCATCAAACCAATGAGATGTGTTGCAGCTAATGTTTAATTACACAGTATTATAAACGTCTGGAATGCTTCAGATGATTATGTCTGGAACAATTACAGACTTGCATATCACATAGGCCTACTTATGCATGCACAAAACTTGAACGTTTTGGATGTCTCTCTTGTGTAACACTGATATATATATATATATATATATATATATATATATATATATATATATATATATATATATATATATATATATATATTAATTTACACCTTTTATGTGTGTTATGAGTCTGTTGTGGTAACACTGACAAAGGAACAGTGCAAAACAAGCCCAAACATGTAGTTTTTAACTTATATCAGTGTGCTAACACCTGGCAGACTCTAAATAACAGGTACAAGTTGACATCATCCTGCGGTGGAGTCTCGATGATGTCACTGAACAAGCCACGCCTCTCCAGAGCGCAGCAACCGGAAAATACCCATTGGCTGAGGAATGCGAGGACGTTAAGGTATGTAACAAACAAACTCTCAGCGTTTACTTATTCTATAATAGTGTTCTAGCTAGTATTATTAATATTATAGAGACCATCTTATTCATTTATTCCGTAATGTGTTTCGTGTGTCAACATATAATTTGCCGGTGTTTGCTGGTCGTTTCTTTTACAAGTTAGCCAGATGGCTACTGGAATAAGTCAGTGCTTTATTAGATATTTTGTGGATTATCGTAATATACTTATTTCGTATTTGTTTTATGACCTCATTAACCACATTCAAATTAGTTTTTTTGGCTGTGAAACAAACCTCTGAGTTGAAAAAAATTGTTGTTGTAGTTGCCTTTACCAATTAAGGCATTAAGCCTTGAAACATGTCTTATAGCATAGATGAGATAGATTTAACGGGGATGTAATTTTAGTGCGAGTTTGTACTGCACTACAGTGCTGAGATATTCGCTGTTAAAGGGCCATGATAAAGGAAAAAAAGGAAGGTAAAAAAACTGGCTACCCTAGTGTCTCACTGTAGGTAATGACGTATGTAGGAATAGAATGTCCACACTCTGCACATGGAACTTCTCATTCCCATGTCAGTTTAGAATCCAACATCCTGTGAGGTCAAGAGTAAATACAGAAGCATGTGCACTCCTCAGAACAGTTACAAACCATGTATAGTCATTGTCAATAAAGTGGTCTGGTCTGATGAAGTCAAATCCATGCAACTAAACTAGTCCTAACAAGCACTATTTCTGGTCATTTTCTACCAGATTGATTAATTTGAAGTCAGCAAATCATGGCTGGCTTCAGGCAGGAGGATGTGGAGCTGTGCTATGAAATGGGAGAGGAGTTAGGAAGGTAAGAGATGCCATTTCTCTTCTTAAAACTCTGTAAAACTAGTTTAACCTGACTTAAAATGGTTAATAAAACTCACACATAGTGTATAAAACAAAGATCGAGGTGAAAAGTAGCCTAAGATCTTAAGCACTATAATTATGAAAGCTTTTTGTTTAAATATAAGGTAAAATGAATACATCATAATGTTTGGCATTGAGTTGCAAAGGCAACGTAGTGTTTGTGCTTATCAGTGCAGTATAAAAACAAACGTCATGAGAGTCCTGCAATTTAAAAATCCCCAGCACAGTGACTTAATCATCTGCAAACATTGAATCAAGTCCTGCCTTTCTTCCTATATATGGACGTGAAGGTTTCTGTTCTGTGCTGCTGCAGCATGACATCACTGCTTTACAATGCATATGCTTGCTCACTGAGCCTGAGTCTGAGCACAACTGTAGTGCAAATGAGACTACAGATGGGCCAGAGAAGAGCCGTCAGAGGAGTACTTTAACCACACAACATTTTATCAGACTTTTATAGTTCTCATTGGTTGCATTATGCAGCATTTGTACCATTTAACCAAATGAGTTACTCTTACTCCTTTAGAAATTGATTACAATTTGTTTTTGTGGAATGTACAGTTGTAATATAAATTATTCAACCCTCATTGCAAATCAGGTTTATTGGCAAAATTTACAGTCTTTCAGCTGTTTGCAATGAACAAATCAAACAAAAGTAATTGAAACTGCTCAGCACAAGAAATATTTCAAGTGGTTTCCCCAAATTCAACTGAAAATGCAACATTTAATGACTTCTGCAGTCTCAAAATTATTCAACCCCTTCATGGCATGCATCTTTAGTACTTATTAGAGCATTTTTCTGTTATGACCTGCTGCAAACGAGATGTATAACCAGACACCAGCTTCTGGCAGCTTTTTTGAGGAATCTTAGCCATGAGAAATGGCCTCCAGTTCAGTAATATTCTTGGGTTTGTGCAACCGCCTTCTTCAAATCCCACCAGAGATTTTCTATAGGGGTTCAAGTCTGGTGGCTGATGGCCACTGTAGAATCTTCCAGGACTTCTTCTGCAACCAAGCCTTGGTGAAATTTGAGGTATGCTTGGTTGGGATCATTGTCCCGTTGGAAGTTTCAACGACGGGATCATTGTCCTGTTGGAAGTTTCAACGACGCCCAAGCTTCAGCTTCCTCACTGACGGCATGACGTTTTCTCCTAGGATTTCCTGATACTTCAATGAATCCATCTTGCCTTCCACACGCTGCAGGTTCCCAGTGCCAGAGGATGCAAAGCAGCCCCAGAGCACCACCGACCCCCACAACCATGCTGAACTCTAGACATATTGTTCTTTTCAGCATATGCTTCATTCTTCTTCCTCCAGACATACCGCTGATTAATAGGGCCTAAAAGTTCCAGTTTTGTTTCAACAGAATCCCAAAACTTCTGTCTTATTTATATGATTTTGAGCAAATTGGAGCTGACTTTTCTTGTGCTTTTTTTGGGGGTCAGTAGTGGTGCCTTACTGTGCAGCTGAAACCTCTGTGCCTGTAGTCTTGCTGCAAATCTTTTGTAGTCACTCAAGGGTTTGCCTTCTCAGAAATCTGGTTGCAGCCGTTGATAGCTTCCTTTTTCTGCCTCGTCCAGGTAGTGTAACCACTGTTCCTTTAACTTTTAAATTGTGAACTATGTTTCCAATGGTGTCTCTAGGAACATTTAGTGCCTTCGCTATCTTTTTGTATCCTGTTCCTTGTTTGTGAAGGGCGATGATATCTTCTCTTAACTTTTTGGACCAGTCATTTGACTTAGCCATATTTATAACATGCAGTCAAATGTGACGCTCAACAAACCGAGCCAGTTCAGATATTTCATATGGGCACTTGGTGCAACTAATGAAGCTCTTGATTAGTCACATAAGGTGTGCTTAAGACAACACCTGTTTTGCAGATTTGTGCCTTTTGTGAGGGATTTTATTCAGGGGGTTTAATAATTTTGAATTATTGCACAAGTCATTCAAAGTTGTATTTTCAATTGAGTTTGGGGAAACCACTTGAAACATTTATTGTGTTGAGTTATTTTAATTACTTTTGTTTGATTTGTTGATTGCGAACAGTTAAAACTCTGTAAATTGTCAATAAACCTGATTTGCAATGGGAGTTGAATAATTTCGATTACAACTGTATGGACTTTTGTTCAGTGTAGTGTTTTTTTTTTTACACACATTTGATATACATATCATCTATATGCAAAATATGTCCTTAATTTCTGTAAAATTTTAATTATAAAAAGTAACATCATCATGATCACTGTTTCCTCTTTTCATTTCTTTTTTCTCTTTGTGTCGTTGTAACACGTTTCATAGTGGACAGTTTGCCATTGTGCGTAAATGTAAAGAAAAGAGCTCGGGAACAGAATATGCCGCCAAATTTATCAAGAAGAGACGGCTGTCATCCAGTCGACGGGGTGTGAGCCGAGAGGAGATCGAACGAGAGGTGAACATCCTCCGAGAGATTCAGCACAGCAACATTATTACCCTCCATGACATCTTTGAGAACAAGACTGACGTGATCCTGATCCTGGAGCTGGTGTCTGGAGGGGAGCTGTTTGACTTCCTGGCTGAGAAGGAGTCGCTGACCGAGGAGGAGGCCACGCAGTTCCTCAAGCAGATCCTGGATGGAGTCTACTACCTACACTCTAAACGCATAGCACACTTTGACTTGAAGGTGAGCACTAGTATATTTTGTTTTAAGATTTGCTATTGATTAATGTAGATGGCAGATCAATCAAAATGTTTTTTCAAAATTTAAATTTTTTAAATATGTCTCATTAACATGGAAACATGTACTACAAAAGTCTTGAATGCACTTTGTTTACAGCCTGAAAACATAATGCTGCTGGATAAAAATGTACCAAACCCCAGAATCAAATTGATAGATTTTGGAATTGCACATCAGATTAAGGATGGAAACGAATTTAAAAACATCTTCGGAACTCCTGAGTTTGTTGGTGGGAACCTTAGTTTATTATAACATTGAATTATATATTTACTTATTATAAGTGTATTAGGAATCCTAATTTAATTTGCCATATCTTTTGTCATTTGTAGCACCAGAAATTGTCAATTATGAGCCCCTTGGCCTGGAGGCAGACATGTGGTGAGTCATTAACATCAATAGCCATGTAATCGCATAAAACACTGGATGGAAACGCCAAGATGCACATAAATTCTAAAAAATGTTCATTAAAAAAAATGTAATCGCTCAATTGAGTCAGGTAATTTTTTATCTGATAAGGCATAAACTACGATAGAAACACATTTACTGTATACATGCGCAACAAAAAAACGAACATGACTTTGCTAACTAACATGACAACAGAGGATGTGATTGGATAGCTGGACTAACCAGCGGATCAGTTTCATTGCACAGCATCTCAATGTTGTTTTAGTTATTTTGAAATGAAATTTCAAATTCTGCCTTCAAAATGATTTGGTATAATGACCTCCCAGAAGTGCATCCAAACGCAAGATAACATGACAGCATTTATTGCGTTTCGTCTGTGTGTTCTGAGGCGCAAGACATTTATGATGTAGGATAAAAGAGAGTCAGTGGCTTTCCTTATTGCAGCAACTTCCATTTTATCACATATATCTCCTGCAATTTACCAGGAAGTGACGATTTTGTTCTCTTGGGGCTTTATTCGCAAATGTTTTATAGATATTCCAATTTTGTTAAATTTGCAACTTTGAATGGAAACGTAGTTAATAATGGATATAAAATATTGTTTAGGTTGTGAATGCATAATATTCACTTGCTAATTTTTGCTTGAAATTAATTGGTTTTCTTGTGATTTTCTTTGCTGCAGGAGCATTGGAGTTATCACATATATACTGTAAGTAATTATCATGGAAATGCCTTGTTTGGCTGCATTGATTTCATGATTTTTCCACACCCAGGTGATACTGTTGTACTTTTCTTAACAAATATTAATGCATTATTAATGCTCTTTAGCTTGAGTGGCGCTTCTCCGTTTCTTGGCGAGACCAAACAAGAAACACTTACCAACATTTCAGCTGTCAACTATGACTTTGATGAAGAGTACTTCAGCAACACAAGTGAGCTCGCCAAGGACTTCATTCGCCGACTGCTGGTCAAGGATCCTAAGTTAGTATAATCCAGTGTTATTACTAAAACTATTAGAAATGATATAATAAAATAAAATACAAATATAAGATAATGACTAAAACTAAATAAAGATCAATGGAAAATTAATAAAATGACAAAAGCACATTAATATTTCATAACAATCACATAACAAAATTAAAATGAAAACTCAAAATGCTCATTAAATTCTATGAATAATACATAAATAATACTAAAATAACGCTGGTGTAAGTTTCATTGTTTAATATGTCAACTGTTTATTAATAATTAATTCAACATTTGCTTTTAACATTCAGGAAGCGAATGACAATCGAGGACAGTCTCCAGCACCCCTGGATCAAGGTTCGAATGTTTCTCTTTCCCTCACTTTTGAGTTGTCACTATTTGTTCTTTGCTTGACTTGCTCTCATCCCATCGTCCCCTACAGGTGATTAAGAGGCGTAACGTTCGACCTGAAGAGAGCGAGCGCAAGCCGGAGCGCAGGCGTCTGAAGACCACCCGTCTGAAGGAGTACACTATCAAATCCCACTCCAGCATGCCTCCTAACAACACCTACATCAATTTCGAGCGCTTCTCTCAGGTCATGGAGGAGATAGCCGCGGCTGAGGATGGCCTACGAGAGCTGGAGAAGAACCAGCGCTCCTGCGGGGAGGATGTGGCCGCTCTGCTCTCCATCTATGAGGAGAAGGAAAGCTGGTACAAGGAGGAGAACGAAAGCATCGCTGCAGATCTCAATCAGATCAAACAGGAGCTGCAGAAAGCACAAGCCCTGCGCAGACAGAGCCAGGAGGAGACCCGAGCCGCCATGCTGTCGGCCAATGCCCTCAAACGCAAGTTTGGTCGGTTGGAGAACCGCTATGAAGTGCTAGCTGAGCAGATGGTCTCTGAGGTGCGCTGGGTGGAGGAGCTGGTGCGCTCAATTTCAGCTGAAAATGACACGCACAGCAACAGCATGGCTTAAGCTGCTCTGTTTGCTTTCAGAACGCAACAACTATCTAATGTCTTTGCTTGGTATGTGCAGGGCAGATATAGAGCATTAAACTTAGCAATAAGCTTCATATAAGCCTGTAGCGTTCATGTTACTTTTAGAACAAAAGAGCAAGCAGTGCAAAATTGTATTGTGAGGGTGTGCATGCTTTATGAATGGCCTGTGCATCACAGTATTCTTTTGTGATGCCGGTCTGTTGCAGCTAAAACAAACAGTTAGCATTTTCACTCGCCACCTCACAAATATACATGCTGGATCGGTCGATTAAAAAAAATGTATTTACGACTTGAGTATCAGTTACAGCATTTAAAGCAAAGCATATTAATGTACATTGGGAGTAATGCACTACACAGTCCTCTATGAGGAATTGAATAATCTCAAGATTGCTTTTGCTTTTGCAGTTGCTTTTGTTGTGCTGCATGTCTGCTTTTCCTATGCAAATCAATTTTATGATATGAGACAAATGGAATGACTTCTAAACATATAACAGTCCTAAATGCTGTCTTTAATGAGCTGTACATATATCAACTTGGTAAGCTGCTTATCTATAAATATGATTTAATAGGATAGTTCACTCAAAAAGGAATAATCATTTATTCTCCAAACCTGTATTTCTTTCTTTTGTGGGACACAAAAGATATTTTGAAAAATGCCTTGGTGTTTATTTTTTGTCCGTACAATGAAAGTCAAAATTGTTTTGGACCACATTAACTTTAACTTCATAGTTTGTGCTGAAACGTTTTTAAAAACAAACTCTTCCACAGAGGAAAGAAAGTCATACAGGTTTGGAACAACGTGAGGGTGAGTAAATGATGACATACATTTTATTTTTGGGTATACTATCCCGTTAACAATTTTCTTTTGCATAAAACACTTCAAACATTCTTTTTTTTTATGACATTCCATATGCAAATGAGTATCATTATCTCTTACAGGAAATGGTTGTGGCCATTTGTAGTTAAGTCATAACAATATTCTTATCTGTTTGATTACAGTACTGTGCCCATTTTTATGTTTTATTTACGAAAAGTTTATATATATATATATATATATCAGAAAAGTCCATTCAAATAAAAGAATTGAAGAAGAATACAGTTACAGTGTCTTTATTAGGTGTGTGTGTGGGCTGAGGAGTGCACTGGGAAGTCAAGTGTGCTGTTTTATAAATCTGAGCATTTGTCATATATGCTTCATCTTAGTTTTCAACATGTCTAAGAGATGTTGAAAGTCCCAGAGTTTTAACTAAACAGGATCTTTCCATCTCCATTGTAAGATAATCATGTTTTGTTAAACACCCAGATAAACATTTGGATTTTTGGGGGTCTTGTAGATGCCACTGTTTACTTTGAAATTTCAAACTACAGGGCATCTGAATATTCTGAGAACCCTTTGCTTCCCATGATATGTGTTGACATAAATCAACAGCATGTCTTTCTTTGGCTCTGGCATCAACATGCGCTTTTTAGGTTTTTCTTATTTTTAATAATTGATTCTGTCACCAAGTTAATTTAAAGGAGATAAATCAACCAAAAATGAAAATATAATGTATTTTTTTGCTCACTGTCATGTCATTTCAAACATGAATGTCTTTCTTTTGCTGTAAATGAGGGAAAATATGGACTTAGGTTTAGAAGGCTTTGAAACACAAAAGGATTTTGAAGAATGTTATTTACTTAAAGTACACTCACCTAAAGGATTATTAGGAACACCATACTAATACTGTGTTTGCCTTAATTCTACGTGGCATTGATTCAACAAGGTGCTGAAAGCATTCTTTAGAAATGTTGGCCCATATTGATAGGATAGCATCTTGCAGTTGATGGAGATTTGTGGGATGCACATCCAGGGCACGAAGCTCCCGTTCCACCACATCTCAAAGATGCTTTATTGGGTTGAGATCTGGTGACGGTGGGGGCCATTTTAGTACAGTGAACTCATTGTCATGTTCAAGAAACCAATTTGAAATGATTCGAGCTTTGTGACATGGTGCATTATCCTGCTGGAAGTAGCCATCAGAGGATGGGTACATGGTGGCCATAAAGGGATGGACATGGTCAGAAACAATGCTCAGGTAGGCCGTGGCATTTAAACGATGCCCAATTGGCACTAAGGGGCCTAAAGTGTGCCAAGAAAACATCCCCCACACCATTACACCACCACCACCAGCCTGCACAGTGGTAACAAGGCATGATGGATCCATGTTCTCATTCTGTTTACGCCAAATTCTGACTCTACCATCTGAATGTCTCAACAGAAATCGACTCATCAGACCAGACACTGAAAATCCCAGTAACTGAGCAGATTGTGAAATACTCAGACCGGCCCGCCTGGCACCAACAACCATGCCACGCTCAAAATTGCTTAAATCACCTTTCTTTTCCATTCTGACATTCAGTTTGGAGTTCAGGAGATTGTCTTGACCAGGACCACACCCCTAAATGCATTAAAGCAACTGCCATGTGATTGGTTGCTTACATAATTGCATTAATGAGAAATTGAACAGGTGTTCCTAATAATCCTTTAGGTGAGTGTATATTATATCTAAAAAATGTTTCGACTGTTATGTCAAAAAAAGAAAGTCAGTGGGGTCCAAAAAACATTTTTAAAGGACATTCTTTTTTTGTTTGACAGAAAAAAGAAAGTCATACAGGTTTGAAACAACATGACAGTGAGTGAGGAAATGCTGACAGAATGTTCATTTTTGGGTGAATATCCTCTTTAGTGCATTTTGGTCAGTTTGCCACCATATTCATCTCATACCGATTAAGGCATTATGTGGCTTTACAGTGATTTAAGAACCACAATGCCATGAGCACATGGAAGAAATGTCTCCATGCAGGGGAAATACTGGATGGTTTTTTTAAACAGCGATGTGTAATTATTCCTCAGAGCACTGATAAGGTCCTTAAAATAACAATGTAGATATCCTGACGTAGCTTCCACTCACATCCAGAGCTCTAGACTCACAGCCCAGCCTCAGTGAACAAAACGCAGCTGGTTCAACCCTGATTCCACATAAACTTCCCTCACAGTCACACCAGACAGCAGAAGATCAGTGTAGTCTGTGTGTCCTACATCACCTTTCTCAGGATGGCCAGGTCCAACTTGGCCCAGAACACCTGTAACTGGATCATGGCTCTCCTCACATTGTGGTCCATGGTCTCTCTGATCGTCATTGTGGTTTGGGCCACCTGGTCTCCCTTGGCTACCCTTGCACAATGCAGAGCAGCACATCAGGCCTTAATTGAAAAGATGGAGGGAGCTAAAGTGATGAAGGAAAAAGACCAAAATGTCTTGAAATCTGCACTGCAACTGAGCTCTAAAAACCAGACCAGACTGCAAGAAGAGCTTGAAAGTATTCTAGAGAGCCAGAGGGAAACCAACGCATCTCTAACCGAGACTCTGCAACTGCAAGTGAAAATCAAAAAGTGATAAATGTGTTTTAAAAATGTGCTGATGCTTGGTACAGCAGGCCTATGTATATCAGTGTACGATGGTTTTACCATCTGCATCATGGTATCATACACTAGCATTGTAAAAGGATAATAGGAACTGATTAAGTGACCCAATTATTTTAAAAAAATTTTTTTATTTTTTTAAATATGGTATTACTGATTTTATTGGATTTTTTTGTTTCTATTTTAGATGATCCTAAAGGAAAATGTAACAGCTTTGGAAAATCAAAGACTCAGGCTCCACAGTGAACATGCAAGACTTTTTTCAGAGCTGGCTCAACAAGAGGGTAGGAGAACCTAATTTGGGAATATTTCTCAAAACTATAAATGGGCTATTCTAAGTGCACTTTCCAGCGCGCGCGCGCGCACACACACACACACACACACAACATTGATATATTATATATAACGCTGATTATATTTAGGCCTAGCTTACATGTTTTATGTGCATGAACTGAAGTTTCCTTATAATGTTGATCATGGCGATATAAGCGTAAATTGCAATATTTCACTTCAGAATAGAACAGGTAGGCCTAATAAATGTATGAAAACCAGAGCCATAGAGAGAAAGAGTTGCGACCGCCATAGGAACTTTGGAATGCGGAAGTAATTCCAAACACTGATAGTTTCTCCATCGAACCCCATTCATTTTCAGTGCTTCAGAAGTACGTTCGCTGGTAAACTGTATTACTGTATTTTTTTACTTTTACACACATTAGCCGACCTCTCGTGAATCTAGTCTGTAGTTATATTTAATGTAGCCAGTTTTAGTAAATGTTTATTGGAAGATAATAGGTTAATTGCAGCGATAGCTTACGTGACCAACACTTCACTAACGTTAGCTAACTGGTAACCTGATGTATATAATATATAATATTTTTAATAATATTTTTTATATATATATATATAACCTATATATAATATTATATACACACACACACACAATTCATTTATTTAAATGGGTTAGAGAGGGTTATGCATGTGCTTATATGTATTTAGGAACATAGTTAATTCACTCAAACTATCTCCGGTTTAATTTTATGAAGAATATTTTTCGGTTGAATATTTACCGAACATTGCTGTATATAGTCGTTGCTTTCTACGTTATGGGAGCAGTCTATTTCCCTCCTAAATCATTCATTTGTACATGCACAGCGTAATTATTTATATTTTATGTTGGTTGGAGTTCTGAACGAACTGCAGACCTCTTTGCGTGATCACGAAGGTAGGCTAATGGCTGAATCGGAATTTATAAGCAAGATCACGGGAATCAATAGCCTAATACAGCCCAGTTGTGCTAAAATAAATATCATGAGACGTCCATCATCAGATGAATGACATGGAAGAGCCGCTAAAGCCAGTGCTATTACTACCCATGCGAACATGAACACTAAGCTTTTCCCTCCAAAAAAATAGCCTAAAACTTATCTAAGTTGTCACCCTGCCTCTCCAAATGCAAAACTGACATTAACAAAATGCAATAACAGCTTAAAAAGTACTTGGGTGTGTGTTTTATTTTATATTTACCGTTTAATAATCCAATCGCTGCTGTCTGTCCATAGAAGAACATGACAGCCCGCGTATGTTTTGGAACTAATGGGGCTTACATGAACCACGTGACAGCCGTCGCGGCGACATCAAAGCGTGTCGCAACTCTTTCTCTCTATGGCTCTGATGAAAACGTGTTTGTTGTTTTGCTTCGTGCAGCTCTTTTTGAGACTCAGTGGGTGAATCTGACCAGTGAATCGCATCATTTGGATTCGTGTGAGGCTTCACGGGATGCCGCAAACAGCCAGCAGGTGGCAGCAGAGAGTCAGAGGAAAGCCTGTGAATACAAAACAACTTACCTTGTCAAGCAAATGTGAGTGATTATTAATCCAACCGCATAGACACAAGACGTTTATTTTACAGTGCACTGTTTCATTTATTTCTTTATCTATTTTGCAGAGAGAACTGCAAGGTTAAAGGGTGAGGAACCGAAGACTTCCAAAACAACTGAAGAAAACTGCCACAGACAACGACCACAAACCTCCCCTCTTTCGACTAAATATAGCTTCTTAGCTTATAAATATATGGAAAGTGCTTTAATGTATTACTGACACAATCTCCTTTATAACGAGACATTCTGAGATATTTTTATGGTAAAGTGAAATAAATAATGTAATAACAGAGCCGGACAGTAACGGAGTACATTTACTTGAGTACAGTACTTAAGTACAATTTTGAGGGATCTGTACTTTACTCGAGTATCATTTTTGGGGAGTACTCATGACTTTACTCAAGTACATTTGAGAGGCAAATATTGTACTCTTTACTCCAATACATTTCTATCCATAACCGTGAGTACCCGAGTAAAAAAAAAAAAAAAAAGTAAAAAAAAGAAAAAGAAAAATCTCGGAAACCCTCAATTTGTTGTTGCCCTCTCAAACGTGATTGGATTGTGCAGGCGCCACTGATTGGGACAGCCTATCAGCAATCACTTTCAGCTTTCCGCCAAAGTCAACTCCATGGTCAGATTTTATATTACACATTTATGTAAGCCAAGCATTTGGTTTGAAGTTCTTGAGTATGTGGTGTGTTTAACACAGTCAGGTTCAAATGTGGCAGTGGCGTAGCCACGAGGGATTTCTGATTTCTTAAAAAAAAAACTTTAGGAGGCAAAATATATTTTTACTGATTATGTGAATTACACTGCGCAAACCAAAGTAGGCTACTACCCAGCGAATGAAGAAGGGTTGGCGCTCAGTCTCCACAGTACATAAAATATTAATTTTGTTTTATTGTATTTTTCGGGTTTGCATTTATGAGGAAAAAACAATGTTATGGACGTGTTCGCCGTTACGGACGTGAGCGCTCTGAAAGCGGCATAAAAAATGCTTTAAAACTTTCACAGAGACATCAAACAGAAAACACAAAACCTTTCTTTAACCTGAATTTCGTTTTGCATTAATTGTATCTTAATTTTAATCAATGTTTCATCAACCAATTGCCTGGGTTTAATAAATAAGAAGTAAATAGCAGACAATAGATAAGAAATGGAGGCGCCGGCACGTGAACTGGATCTCGTCTCATAAATGAACCGAAACTCAGTGTATAAGGTAGCCTACTTGCCTCTCACAGACATGTCTACTTTTAAACAGAAAAATTCAAAACGAAAGAAAAGAAAATAGACTACAGACTGCTCTCTGCTTATGTAATCCGAATGAAATGTGCATTTCTCTCTGGCGCGTTCACTACTGAATATCGCGAGTCAGCATCGTCAACTTCATCTAGCCGACACTGACAAAGAAAACACTTGTTTATTAACAAGTGTTTATTAATAAACAATTAAAATATCTCCTTGCTATATTTTACATATTCATAATCATTCCTTTTGCCGATTCTTTGTGACAGCTTTTAGGTTTTTTATTGGCAGCGCTACCCTTACATGTGGTGTGTGTGTGTGTGTGTGTGTGTGTTGTCCCCGCATTTAAAGATGGGAACCCCCCAAAAAATTAATTAAATTAAATAAAGCAACATGGTAAAAAGATGAAAATGACTTGATTTTACTTTCAATTCCTTTTACATTCTCCAAGGTATTAACATTAACATTTTTCATAACTCCATGTAGGACGTTTCTGTGCCTAAATGTAAGCACTGTGGCAGTAGATTACTAATGCAATATTTAGAAAATTTACTCTTGTACTCTTGATACTCAAGTACTTTTAAAAACAAGTACTTTAGTACTTTTACTTAAGTAGACATCTGACTGTAGTACTTTTACTTGTACTTGAGTAAAATTTAGCAAGGGGTATCTGTACTTTTACTCAAGTAACAAAGCTCTGTACTCTGTCCGCCTCTGTGTAATAATAATAATAATGTTGTTGTGTGAATGTTGGGAGGACATGGAAATATGACTGATTAAAACAAATATATATATATATATATATATATATATATATATACTTTTTTCCATATTTTTAAAATGAATTCCTATTATCAGGACATACCAGAAAAATATTTATATTACTGTTTTAAGCTACATGTACTTTTGCTAGTTGTTTTGTTTGTTTTTATTTATGTCTTCACAATAGGTTTATATAATGGGTTTATATTAATTATGTAATTTAATATGTAATTCAAAATTCGATTAAATGCAGTATTTATTAGAATAATTATTTTATTGTGTTTAATTAATTAAAATTAGGTTAATTGAATAATGAATGCAATTGTTCCTATATTGGTTTAATAATTATTAATATATTTTTCAACTTGAAAAACATGAAAACACTCAGAAAAAGGGAAAAAATAAAAAAGTTCTTTTGACGTTCAAACCAACTTCCTAATTCAAACGTGAATCCTGATCACGTGATCACGACCAAGCGCTTCGTAAACAGCTGAAAATCTAATAAGTAAGTGTTCTGATACAATCTCTCATATGAGCGCATACATTTTATATTACAATTTGTAATTTGACTATTTTGAAACAGTAGCAAATGCGTCTGCAGATTTTTTAGGATACTATGACAAACGCTGGTTGAACGTGTTTACATTGGTTTTCCATGGAGCTGCTAATGCTAATACACAGCGCTCCTAGTCAACACGTCTGATATGCTTTAGATAACGTTACTTTATTTTATGTTGCTTTTTATGCGTATATCGTCGTATCTGCCATCTTACGATTTTTATACGGTTGATTTTTCTTATGTTTTTTTTTACCTAAAGTAACGTTACTTGGGTTATGTCAGTTCCAGTATTTTCAACAAACCCAGGTGATTACATGAACTAACAGCGGTTTTAAAGGCTTTATTTCTCAATATGATCAGCGTTAAGTTTACTATACTCTGTGATGCAGTTTATGGAAATGTATTATAATTTATTTGGTAGTTATAATATAGCCTGCTTATAAAGTCATGCATATTATGTATTTACAGTAAAAGGTCTTTGTGTACTAGGTTTATTGGCGAACTCTTAGTTGCTATGTGTCTTTTGCTAAACTTATGGCAAGTTGGATATATGTACATGACACTTTTGACAACTAACATGAGTAACAGACCTCACTTTGTTTCTTTGCATCCCAGCATAATGAGACCAACCTTCGTGGTGCCGATGTGCTGAGACATCAATGGTTGCAGGAATGAGTTCGGCAGACAACTTGTCCTCACGCCACCGAAGAAATCCTCGCAGGACCTGTCGCACCATTTCTGAAGATTCTGCTAAACTTAAACCTGTTTCAAGCGACAAAGCTTCCACCTTGCATAGTAAAGAAACCACAGCATTTCAAGGTCTGAATACTGCAGAATCATGCAGACAAAGAACGACCAAGAAGGAAAAGGAGAAACCTCAAAAAGCAAACCAAAGTGCTCCTCCTGACTCATCGGCTTGTTTACAAAATTCACCATATGAACTAATGGGTATAAATGGACTGTCTTCAAAGTCACATAAACCTGAGCCAACGTTGCCTCAAAAAATTACTACCCCCAAATGCCCATCAAAGACTTCAAAAAGATCTCACAAGGGAAGGAAAAAGAAATGTGTTCAACCCAATGAGAAAGAAGTAGCTGCTAGCAAAGCTTGTGCAGATGGACTGGACAATTGTGTGCACAATTCATGCCCAGAACAACTCTTAAGCTCTCCAAAAACAAAAGGGACACATTATCGGCACTCTAAAAAACCTCAAAACCATCAAACCCCTTCTGATGTTTCTACAGGGCTTCACACATGTACTACATTATCTCCTCGTCATCACAAGGAGTTATCCCCCTGCCACACTAATAGTGATTGTACTTCCAGACCACGCACCCCAAAACGGAGCTGTGTCCAGTCCAGCCCTCTCTTAAGCTCCACACCGAACTCAGACCTCCACCCCCTGTCTCCAAAAAGAGCTGAGAATAGTTGCACACCACAAAGTCATCAGAAAGTCAAAGTGTCCAGTCTAATAAAGGTTTTTATGAAAGCAATTATAGCATTATTGAACTGTTGTACAAATTCCTGGCTTAACGATTTTTCATGTGGTATTCTTATTAGTCACCTCTTCCGGAGGCTACACCATCAAGACGGGTCAGACCTCTGGGAATCGCGGGAAGGCCAAGAGGTAGGCCAAGAGGTCGCAAGAAAAAGAATGTGCAGGAACAGCTAAGTGCCTCTCCACCAGTGAAACGCTGCAGGAAGAGTGCAACGTCCCCTGTCAAATCTTCTGAGGGAGAGCCATCCTTTGAGACGCAACCTCCAAGTAGACCTTGCATTGAATCCCAGGAGCCAGGGACACTGAAATCAGGTATACATAATTTTTGGGTCCTCATAAAAATCAATATAATGTAGTCTGTTTATGTATTTACATCAAGTACATTATATCACTTTTAATGTTAATAGGTGTAAACAGAGCCTCAGATATATGATTGTGTTGTCATTTTCTTCTGAAATCAGTCATTATAATGATATAATGTCGTGTCATGTACCTAGCAGATCAAACCATGTCCTCTGACCTCTCCATCGAGCTGAGCCTGCAGGAGGAGCCTCATCCTCTTAACCACTCTGTCTTCATGCAGGAGGAGGAGGAGGAAGAGGACCAGGATGATGATGAAGAGGAGCTGCCCAGCTTTTTGCAGCAGGACAATAAAAGTGAGAGCAATCCCTTGTTTATGTGTCTATACGTTTTTTTGGCCAATGCTTTGATATATTTGGCCAATGATATTTGATTTCCAGAGCCTTTGTCAATCTCAGAGGGACTATGCGTGTGGTGCAAACTGAGAAAATATCCCTACTGGCCAGCAGTGGTAAGTACAACATATGATTTTGTGCAGTTTTGTAACTCTTATGATTTGAGACTGTAGTTGATGACTAGTGTGCTCCTCTGTGCCACAGGTTAAAAGTGTGAATCACAAGAGCAAAAAAGCCAGCATTGTATTTATTGATTGTTACCTAATCGACCAAAAGAGAATTAGAAAAGGGTAAGAATTCATCAGTATCTCAAATTCACTTATTTTTGGTATGTATAGTAAATAATTCCTTTTGTTTATCTGTAGGTTTTCTGTACCCCTGCGAAATCTAAAACGTTTTAACTGTGAAGAGCATGACAATTTGGTGGTAAAGTAACATCTCTTTGACTGTTTGCCATATTATTTAGCTTTTTCAGAGTGCATGCTCACTATTTTAATATTTCTGCCATCAGAAGACATTGTTACATATACTACAAGACATTTTTATTGACATGGTTGGCATTTTCTTTTTAATATCTCTTTTAGGACCTAGCAAAAGAGAAGTATGGCAGTGCTATTACCTGGTCTCTGGAACTGATATCGGACTATAGGATCCGCATTGGTATTTATCTTAAGAACTTAAGTACTCGGGTACATTTAAACATTTATTAAAAATAATATGTAGCAGAATCAAATGTGTGAATATTAATGTTTATCCAAATGTGCAAACTTTTGGACTAAATGCCCTAATGTTGTGTAGCGAACACAAATAAACCGGAGCATGTATGTGCCTTATTGTACATGAAATATCAATAATTATCGATTGATTATGCACTCCTGACAGAAATTAGGAAATTACTGTCACTTGTAACTTCAACAATCACACATAGTGGTCAAATATCAAAACTAGAGTCCTAAATCTTTCTAATCATACATAGGTTGTCAAGATTAAAGCTCCAGTCCGTAACTTTTTTAAGTTTAAAATAATTCAAAATAATTATATTAAAAAAAACTTATTCTGCCAGTGGTCAAAACTCTCTGCTTGCCATAGCTAGATTCAAAACGGTTAGCTTGTAATAATGATTTTAATTCCAGTGGTACTGGTGGGTTTCCGCGGGAAATTCGAGCATGTCTTTGCGTCATGACGTCACACCCGTACACATAAAGAAGGAGTTTCGGCTAGCCGGCTATACTGCGCGTGACGAGATGTTTAGATGTATAGGCTTTTCTTGCAGCACTTTACATAATTAAACTTATGGCATCCAGAAAGATCCAAACAACAATCATCAGTGTCAACTGTTAGTTCGTAAGATAACTCCACGTTTAGTTGAAACACATTTCTTTTTATTCCGTCACTCATGTACACCGAGGAACAACCCCCAACACAAGTTACTCTTCTTCGCCAACCGAAGAAAGGTGCTACTCACCACACCCCCACAACAGTGCCCCCTTATGGCGAGATATGCCGCCAAGATAACAAACAGGAGTAACAATCTCCCTCTCTTTAAAAAAAAAAAACAACAACAAAAAAACGACCAGCTAACCTGTCATGGTGTATTAAATATGAACAACAAAATAACAAAAGGTTATTAGTAGGGCCGGGACTCGATTAAAAAAATTTATCTAATTAATTAGAGGCTTTGTAATTAATTAATTGAAATTAATCGCATAAATATTTGACCTGAGAACTGTGAGAAGTAATTTTTTTCACATGGATTTTTAGTATACCATTGAATAATGACTGCATACATAAGCTTAAGCAACAAAATATTGTTTATTTTTGTTCAACCAAGTCCAGCAGACCAGTGCAATTTTTGCCATTAAGTGTAGCAATAGCATATTGCAACAAAATAGCATATTGCTACACTACACTAATAGCAATAGCGAATTCCTTGTTGCATAGCTTGCACACAACAATGCTCTTATCGACGCGTCCATCCGTTCGTTTTTTGTAACAACATTTCCCAGCCACCGGCCAACCAAAGCGATCTCGTCAGCTTCTTCGTCATGAACGCTAGTTGGTGCGCCAGTATAATCGGTCCGCCGAAACTCATCCAGTGAGAAACGTTCCGCGGTGCAAAAATAAGTGCGATTAAAAATAATGTTTTGTGTAATTAATTAACGCGTTAAAGTCCCGGCCCTAGTTATTAGTAAGGGAAGGGGGAACTCATGCTTGAGTTCACTTAACAGTCCAGCATCCTTCATAGAGAGCCTTAAGAAGTGAGGTTGAGGAAGCTCCCTTTTTTGTAAGACAGTCTGCAAGTTGATCTTTTGTTTCAGATCATAACACTTGATCAACCCTCTTAGTTTGGATCAGTTCTTTTATCGAACTGATTTCCAAACGCAGTCTTTTCTCAGCAACAAACTTAGTAGACTTCAGTGCATCAACAAGAGAGAAATTATCGGTGACACAGATTATGGGTACAGGAGAAACAGTACAACCAGCATTCAGTTCAGAAAACAGAGTTGACAAAAAAATGGCATTATCAATCCCCTCAGACATAGCAAGCGTTTCACCTGCAAGAGTGCTTCTGACAACTCTCTTAATTCTCTTAGATTGCCATGAAATAGGAGAGAACTGCCCATTTTCACCCATCAAAACGATGAAGTACCCACCTTGAGTACCCCCATCTGAAAGATTTGCAAATGATGCATCAGTGAATGTAACCATCTTTAAGTTACTGTCTTTCCCAAGCTGTTGAAAGTTCAACTGAACTGACTTGGTCTTGAGTTTACAGACTACCCTGTTAGCTTCATTAATGTTCTGTACTGTAGCTTGTTTGAGACAAGATGCCAAATTACTTGCATCATGACATCAGGCCTGCTCTGTCTCGCAACCCACAGAAGTTGACCTATCTTTGACCTAAGCTGTTCTCTCTCCTCTTCTGTGAGAGGTGAAGCGGACTCTGCTGCTCGTGAAGGCGTGATATGTATGGGCTGTAGGTGCTGAATGTATGTCATTTGGTGTATTTGTACCTTCTTGCCCAAAGTCACAAAATCCACACCCACATAGGAAAAGTTATTGTGAGCTTCACGACCTACATTGAACTTTGATCTAAGGTAAGGTATGACACTCTCTGAAAACAGCTGTGAACCTCCCCATATGAAATCATCAACGTGACAAGCAAGTACACCAGTTACCTTCGCATCCTCATCAAGCCAGTAGAAAACTGCAGGGTCAACCTTAGACACAATACCTCCTGCTTCAGTCATAATGCTTTTAACTCTGTTATACCAATACAATGAGGCATCAGCTAAACCATACACACATTTTCTTAGTTTCCAAAGTGTCCCTGTGCCATTGGCCTCCAGTGGTGGTTTGATAAAAATGTCTCTGGACAGCTCCATGCCTTGTAGGAAGGCAGATTTTATGTCCATTGAGTGAAGTTCCCATTGTCTTTGACATAACACTGCCACTAGAAGTCTCAGTGACTCTGAGGCACAAGTCGGCGAGTCCTTTTGCAGCTCAGAAACTTGTAGCTCCTCAAATCCTTGTGCAACAAGTCTTGCTTTGGGAACTAATCCATTTTCAGTCTCTTTCAAAGTGCACACCCATCGAGTGGAGACGCACTTTTGTCCTTTGTCTTCAACTTCTTCAAACACCTCGTTCTGTCTCCAATTTTGTATTTCCTTTTCTTTTGCTTAATCAAAAGACACATCCTTAGTCACAAAAACATCCTCATGTGTATCCGAATTTGGAACCTCTTTCTGGACACGAAGATCCTCTAATTGTGACAGTTTTGCTGATTCACTGTTACCAGCTACCTCCGCAGGCTCAAGTAGCTCCAAGTTATACCAGTTCTTATATTTTCCCTTGGCTTTTCCAGCACATCCTAGCACCTTTGCTGTTTGTGAAACACCACTTGCTTGGTTTCTAAATGTCACAATTTGTCCAGTCTTTATGTTAATGTTTCCAATGTCTGATCTCTCTGCTTCTGCATTTTCAACAGCAGGTAAAGGATCATTCTCTGCGTTTTCTACATTTTTCTCTTCTTCAATGATGTCCACTGTACGTTGTCCTTGGTTATTCTCCTCAGAGACAATCTGAGGCTCTTCATTTTCATGAGTAACTTTTCTTAACCTCAGTTGGTGCACTCTGACACAGGTGCCTCCATGTCTGACAAAAACAACTGCACTGTCCTGTCCGATGACCACTCCAGGCACTTTCCATTCTGGACAGTCCACTCGTTTGTAATAAATCTTATCTCCAGGTTCGTATCGCTCGTCAGTGGGCCGTAACTGTTTCTTTAGAGCTCTCCGTATCCTTTCCGAACATTCAGCTTCTGTAAAAGCCTTTCTTGCAGCATGCAGGGCTGAAATGTGCTTAGCAACCCATTCACTCTTGGTAGTCCCCTCTAGAGCCGGTGCTTTGTCTATTAACACTGAGGGCAGATTAGGATTCTGCCCGAACACCAGCTGATGTGGACTGTACCCATGGACACTTTGCATACAGTTCTTTGCCATCAAGGCCCAGTCCATTGCAGTGCTCCAGTCACATTCAGTACTAGCTTTCACTTTCATTATGATCTCAGTTAAGGTTTGATTATGGCGCTCCAACAGCCCATTGCTCCAGGGGCTGTAGGCAGGTGTTGTCTTAACTTCAATATTAAAGTTCTCGGCCATGTCTCTCACTTCTTCATTATTAAACTCGCCACCATTGTCACTGAATAGCTTTTGCGGTGGGCCATGTACACTGATACAATCGTGGATAAAACGCTTGACAATTTCAGAAGCCCTCTTGGTGGTGAGGACACTACCAGCACTAAAACGAGTAAACTGGTCAATAATGTGTAGGTACCAGACCCCTGGCTCAAGCTCGTGCAAATCTAGAGCAACTGTTTCATTATACGTAGATGCCAGTGGTAATCCGACAGCAGGTTTTGGTTTGGTTCTACAATATTTCTGACACGCTTCACATTGATTTATGATCTTTTGCAACAGGCTGGGGCATTCTGCGTCCTTGTTGCCAGAATTATTCATCAGTCTTTGTAGTTTGTCTGCAGAGGCATGCCCGAACTGTTTATGAAGCTTTTCCAAAACTTTTATTTTCTCACTTGTGTTCATCTTGTCTGTGATTGACAATATTTCATCTTCAACTGTTAATATCTGATCAGAGTGAGCAGGATTTTTATTTTCATTGTCCACAATGTTCACACAATAATGTCCAGAGCTTGTAAAGTCTAGTTTGACCGGCTGGTTTAACATTACTGCGCTGTCATTTTCCATATTCAGAACGGTCCCTGCCCTTTTTAATGATGTCTTACTCAAAAGCAGGGGGATGTTTACAGGTACCACTTCTGTTTCAATATTACACTTCATGTTGCCAATCTTTGCAGGAATTTTGACTCTTTTTCCTGAGTAAACTACTTTTCCATCTCCAAACTTGAAAGGCCTGTGACTTTCTGCTTCTGTTTCTTTCATCATCTTTAGACTTTTCTTCTGTAACACAGTACTGCAGTTGTCAAGCCACTCTTGTCCACAGACTGTCCTAGTACAAGCAGTGTCTATTATTGCTGAGCCAAAACATTCGGTCATGAATATTTCTGCATCTGTCGGTAATTCTTTGGTGTACAGAGTAATATTACACTCTTCCATGCCAGTTTTATCTTCTGTAATCTTAACACTCTCACCTTTATGCGGACAATCTTTGACCCAGTGATATGTACTTTGGCACACTGCACATTTCGATCGCCGTCCGTACTTATCTAGCGGGTTAGTACTGGGCTGTGGAGTTTTCTGATGAGCGCTTTGTTGCCGTCGCTGCTCTGTCACAAACACGGACTCCTGGCTAATACTTTGTGCTGCTGCGCTCGTTTTTCGGCCAAATATTCTCTTCAGTGCGGACTTCATCGAGGCATAAGTTAAGTCAGTGCATGCAGTTAGAGCCAACTGCCTATCCGTCGCATCCAAACACGCAGTATCCAAAAGCTTAAAAGCTAGAATTGCGTCGGGTAGCTCCATGTTGTACTTTTTCATCCGAGAATAGCGCTGTTCAAAATCAATAATATAGTCCGTCATGGACACGTTCGCTTCTTTCATAATCTGGTCGAAATCTGAGTAAGCATCGTAGATCCTGTCCTTTTCCTCTTTAAGGAACAAAGCATCCAGTTTCGCTAACAAGGTGGTCATTCCAGTGTCTTCATTTAGATCATCTACCGGAATTTCCATCGCCGTATCCCGCGCCCTTCCTGATAGCGCCAGGGCGACGGCAAGAGCTTGTTTTTTTTTTTCCAAATCGGTAACTCTGGTCCAAATGTTGACTTCATTCTTCCAGCTTTCGTAGGGTTTTCCTTCTTAAAACGTTGGTGGAACCCTGTAGTTAGCAGCCATCCTCTGCTACCAATGTTAGTTCGTAAGATAACTCCACGTTTAGTTGAAACACATTTCTTTTTATTCCGTCACTCATGTACACCGAGGAACAACCCCCAACACAAGTTACTCTTCTTCGCCAACCGAAGAAAGGTGCTACTCACCACACCCCCACAACAGTGCCCCCTTATGGCGAGATATGCCGCCAAGATAACAAACAGGAGTAACATCAACTGGAGATTCAGCAGTTATAAAACCCAAAAGACTTCGTACTTCGGATTTAAGGTGGCTAGAGAAAGAAACTGTCTCATGCGAACACAAGGATTTAAACATCGGCGAGGCTTTTGAAAAGTGCGTGAACTCCGTGTTTTGAAGGGGTTCAAAACGGAAGAAGAGACAGCTTTTTTCTGCTGAACAAGTAAGACATTTCAATAGTTCAATCGTGTAACAGTACGTTTTCTTAATTCACACAGTTATGGAGTTTTCTTTGTTGTGCCTTTCTCGTTTTGCTATTATGGAGAATATGAATTCTGAACTACGCAGGTAGCTGCTAACCATAAAACACATTAAATTTAACATTAGTCACGCAATGCTGATGTGATGTTGTTAACATGAACAATTTGAGAACAAAGTAGGCTATAATTTGCACGGTTGCTGTAAATCGCGTTGATTAAATCTAACGAAGCTTATCATGTCGAATGCTTTTTCCCCCCTAGTTGGTCAGAACAAAAATGGATTTTACTTACTTGTTCAGAAGACATTTTCTTATGAAAATTCTTATGTTGGTCAAACTTTCAAAACGTGAATCTGTGATTCTGTATGACAGTATCCACACAGCGCGGTGACTGACAGCAGCACTCGCCTCAAAGCACTGTGTTCATCCGCGCTGTTTCATGCCGATTTACAACCCACGTAAAGATAATAATTCCGCGAATCACTGCAGTTACAGATTTCGAACAGAGAGATGGCGACAAAGAGGAAAAGATACGGACTGCAGCTTTAAATAATGTCACGGTAATAGTGTGCAGTGAATGTAATCAACTGATATATGCTTTTATATGCACAGCAGGAATATGAAATTATATAATTTGAGCCACTTTTTCACACAGTGCTCTATTTGTATGTACTGAGGTTTTGCTTGTGAAATAACACAAAAAGATAAAAATATTCATCAAAGATATATAAAAAAAGTGAAATTCAAATATTAAATTCCGATGTTTTCTGGCAGGATGTGGATCCTTCTCTGGTTCCTTCATCGAATATTGTGCCGCTGACATCAGTAGGTTTCCTTTCATTATATATTTTCACGCTCATCTAAAATGTTTGTAATTTTATGATGATTGTTGTTAATTTAAAGATTTAAGACACTTTGTCATTAGATGCAATTCAATGAAATTTAGTTAGTAAAACAATAATTAGCACAAATAAAAGAGATAACATGCATAATGCACAGCGAGGTAGATACATATTTTAATGATGAATAAAATGACAAATTTATCTGTACATTAATATTACATTATTAACATAAATAATAAATGAATGGTAAATTTTAACAAATTATGTTCATATTAAATATAAATGTTGCAGTTTAAAACTTTATTAAAAGGAAAATACCAATACTTCCATATTTTAGATGAATGAACATGGTATTTGTAGTACTCCATGTTTTGTGGTAATAACTTTTAACAATTAATCAGTTAATTTATTGATACTTTTAATGATAATTGACTAAAATTTTTAAATCAATCAGTGTAAACCAGGTTAAAACCTCATTATGAATCAGGTCAGCCTCCTTCACCACTGCTGGTTTAACAGAATGTTCCTTTGATCTGATGATCCCAGGTTGCCCAGTGCGGAGGAAGTACTCTGAGAAGAAATCTGTACTGACCTTCCCCAGTCAGGAGATTCTGGGCGAAGAGTGTGACAACTCCGATAATAACACGGAGGACATCCTTTTGGAAGAGCAGGATGAGCTCCTCTCCAAGAAAGTGCTGCCCGACCGATCCAAGGCTGCACGGAACCGCGCCAATGAGTTGTTGATTGACTTTATCATCAGACAAAAAGTAGAAAACCGCTTACTGGTACGATTTGTGTTGATATATTCATAAATACATTTATGTTGATGAATTGAGACAGGTTCATGTATGCACACAACTAACCCTTCTGTCTGGTGCACACAGGCAGTCATCAGCGGTCGCGAGACATCTAAATGGATGCTAGCCCTCCAGAAGCCTTCTCGCCCAGTGGTTGATGTCTATCTGGAAGATGAGGAGCAGGTTGATAGGGTGTACCGCTACCTGAACAAAGTCTGCGATACCGCCCCTCAAATAAACACCTGCCTAGAAAACATCCAGGTGGACCGGATCCGGCTTATTCTTGATGTGCTCCTGCCTGAGGTAATCGACTTAAAGGGTTAGTTCACCCAAAAATGAAAATTCTGTCAACTTAAAAGAAGATAATTTGAAGAATGTCGGAAACCAAACAGTTGATGGACCCCATTTACCTCCATAGTATGGAAAAAATAATAATACTATGGAAGTCAATGGGGCCCATCAACTGTTTGGTTTCCAACATTCTTCAAAATATCTTCTTTTGTATTCTCCAGAAGATAGAAATGCATTTAGGTTTGGAACTAACTTGAGAGTGAATAAATGATGACAGAATTTTCATTTTTGGGTGAACTAACCCTGTAATTTATACGACCTTTTAAATGTTTGGGGTTGGTTTGATTTTTTTTTTTTTATTATGTTTTTACCTTCACTTTTGATCAATTGAATGCATCCTTGCTGAATAAATGTATTAATTACAAAAAAAAAAAAAAAAATCTCACTGCCCCCAAACTTTTGAATGGTAGTGTATAATATTTTCAGCTGACCATGCTCCGGCATCATTCATAGCCATGTTTCAGGGACCGTTTTGCTTTCTAGGCTATTATCCATGCCATTGCTGGAGTCCACAAGCTTTCCCTGGAGAAGGCAGAGGAGAAGTATCGCAGAGGGCCGTGCTTTAGTAACAGGTAGAGTATTTTTGAACTGACTTGAAAAACTGCATCTTGCATCTGTTTGATCTGTTTTTCTTTCACTGCGTTTTAGAGAAAGACAGGAGTTTGACATGATGATTGAACAGCAGATGAAGCTCAAGGAAATCACACAGCGCCATTGACTGTGACATCCCCTCTGTTTCAAAGAAACAGTAACTTTTATGAGCTTAATTTATACCATTTATTCCCAGGAATATTTTCTTAAATGTTTTTTTGACAGCATTAATCATAGTATATGGGAAATGAATGATTTTCATGGGAAACAATTATGGCTTTGACTAAAAGCTAAAAATGTTATTATACATTTTTTATTGTCAGATCTCTGAGACTTTGTGAGCTGAATGGTGAATCTCTGACATCTTGATGCTAAAATCAACAAAATACAGTGCTTTTAATGTGTGCAGTGTGTGTAATAAATTAATACCTTGTACATAAATACAACATTTTAAAAACAACGTGGTTAATGTATTCCTCAGTTTAACTAAAACTGATGTTGTGGCTACTTGTTTAGAAAATGCTTAAGTGTGTGCAAGGGACGTTTGTAACTTTAACTGAACAATATCAAGTTGCTTTTACAATCTACACAATTGATGTCTCTAAAATGTTGCCTTTTAGACATCTGACAATTCACAATAACATTGCCGTGGCGTGCATAGAGGCTTTTTCTACATCTTTGTGTGAAAAGATGCCAAAGAAGTTGCATTTTACTGCAACTGAGTTCTGGTCTAATGTATATAAAGATTTTATACAGGACTTGATTGTTTATCAATAAATCTTTATTTTTCGTCACACATGATATACTCTGTATTTTTGTAAACATTTATGTCATTTAAAGAGTTCCTTTATATTTAAACAGTGTTATGTTTTTTTTTTTTTTATACTTTGTACATTATGTGCCAAATTGTGGCTGCGCAGCAACATCATACATCATTCTTCACATTCTAGCCTTCGAGTTGGTCTGTTCATTATAAATCCAATACACAAGATCAGAATTTAGTTATAGATGTTATACAAAACTTTACCTTACAATCGGATTGAATGGAATGAAATGAAAGTTAAGTCCACCATGAAACTTTGAGGTATAAGAAGAAGGTCCCCATGAATGTCCACAGTATTTGTAGAATGGCCACACACTGGAGTCATGGCACTTTGAAAGGAAGCTGACTTCCGATATTGTGTGACAGAATATGACTGGTTGTGGAAAGACGAGCCTAAGGTTCTTTGAGAGCGTTGATCTGTGCACAGATTTTGAGCGCAGGGCCCAGTTTCATGTTCATAGCGCTCATGAGGTGGTCCTCTGTAAGCAACAACAGGGCCTGTCCGTCAATCTCCTGTGACCGGAACTCTGCTGCAATATCATGGCACCCTTAGAACAAGTGGAGGAGATGCAAAGATGAGCATATGATTCTAAAGATTATATAAAAATCTATAACATTAGATGCTCAATGTAGTCACAGTTTAAAAGTGAAGTGCGTTTTCTTTCAAAACCTTCACTAACATACTTATATATATATATATATATATATATATATATATATATATATACAAGGAGGCCCTTTTGTTTAATCTAAGGATTATTATTCTTTTTCAATTGTTCGGGGCTTTTTGGGGCCCTTAAAACTCTTGAAACTTTGCACACACGTTGGAATTGTCGGCCATCAGGGCCGGGCCAAAGCTGGTACACGGGCGTGGCAGGAATGCAGTCCAAAAACTTGGTCCATCCATATAGCCTATCATTCATACTTGCATGTACATGTATGAAAGTCGGTACACACACATATATATATATATATATATATATATGTACATGCCACATGATAATGACAACATGGCAAAGTAGTACATCCAGATTACATTCATTCTATATAGAAAGTTCTTCACTTCACACTACATTCAAAATAAATGTTTTTATTCATTAAACACCACCTAGTGGAACAGAAGGTGTACTGCGTTTCTGAAACCTATGCAGCTACCTGGTAGGGAGCTGATGAAGGAGCACACTTGCTCCACACTCCACTGTGAGGGACTTGAGTCAAGGACACAGTCAGAGCTGCTGCAGCTCTCCAGTCTGCTCTGCTCTCTTTCTCTGTCTTGCTGTTTCTCTCTTTCGGCCTGCAAACGCAGCCTCGTTGTCATCGGCCCTGGCGAATCCTCCTCCTCTCTCTCAATCCACATTGAATTGGACACCCTCTGGTTGTCGTTGGAACGATGGGAATCTTGCAGCTGCTAAGGACATAATTTGTTGTATTAGGTCAGTCCCACTTATTAATTATGGTTTAACAATGGGTTGCATAGTTTGGTTAAAAGGTTATTTGTTCATTTTCACTGACCTGCTTGAGGTAGTGTTCCCTAGACCCAGCATGTACGCGACTAGGTGGTCTCCCCCGCCTGCCCATGGGTCTGTGGAGCCAGCGGACAACTTTTTCTGGCCTCAACAGGTTTAGACGTTTTTTACAGCTTACGTTGAATCTGTAAGATAAACAAGACTGCTTGTACTGCAGTATACAGTTTTATGAACACATTGACTTAATCCTAAAAGTGTAAGTTTATAATCCTAAATGTGTTTTCATCATAGTTTATATGCATGCATTCTTACAAAGAAATGCAACCATTTCAAGTGAGCATGTATACACCACTATTCAAAATAATAAAATAAAAAATTATTAATGAACTTTCTATTTATCAAAAAATCCCCCAAAAGAAATGTATCAGTTTTCATAAAAATATAATAAAGCAGCTATTTTCAACTTTGATGATAATAATAGGGAATGTTTCTTGGGCAGCAAATCAGCATATCAGAATGATTTCTGAAGGATCATGTGACACTGAAGACTGGAGTAATGGTGCTGAAAATTCAGCTTTGCCACCACAGGAATAAATTACATTTTAAAATATACTGAAATAATTGTAATAATAATATTTCACAATATTACAGTTGTTGTTTTTTATCAAATAAATGCAACCTCTTTGAGAATAAGAGACTTCTTTACTTTAAAAAAACATTAAAATATTTGTAATATTTTTACAATGTTTAATATTGAAGTTTAGAGGTTTAGAACAGGAGTGCCCTATCCTGTTCCTGGAGGTCTACCCTTCAGAGGTCAAAGTTCGGAGGTCAAAGTTCACCTCCAACCCTGATCAAACACAACTGAACCAGCTAATTAAGATCTTCAGGAGCCCTGGATAAGTACAGACAGGGGTGTTGGATCAGGGTTAGATCTGGATCTGATTTGAAAAAAGAAAATGAAAGAGACACTAAAAGTGGCTATCCATTAGGCTCTTTACCTTCTGACACATGTTATGGAGCAGAAGCGTTTGGATCTGAGGAAGGTACGAGCGAAGCCTCTCTTCCCACAGAACTCGCATTCGAGTACGTCAGGCAGGTTTTCAACTGTCTGTTCTGAAAGCAGAAGAGATCCTGCCAGAAACGCTCATATTGACTCAATGCATAAATAAGAAATGTGCTAATGAGCCCACCATCCTCAGCGGGTGTGTTATCAATGTCGGAATCAGTGGAGTTTTCCGGATTGTCCGCATCCATAAGGCAGTCATCCCGGGCTGATTGTTCATCCTCTCTATCTTCTGGCAGTGTGGCCTGCAGGTTCATCTCTAAGGAAGCACGTCTCACCTGAAGAAAAAGACCAGCACATCAATACTGGACATACCAAACATTTTTTGAGATGCCTTTTGTGGTTTCGACTTCTGAAAGTGTGGAGCACTTTGCGAAGATTCCCAAAGGGGACTTTAATAACTGGTTGATCTGTACGTTTGGCCGCAGACCCTCACCAGCCGTCTTACTCTCTGCTCTCAGGGAACGAGAGATCTTTGAGCTTCACGGCTCCATTAGAGAACCATAAGAGAACCATGGGCTTCATTAGGGCTTCATGGCAGCTGAGAATTGCTACGTCGTCAACCAGTGGACATACCGGGAACGGCTCCAGGCCCTCTCGGATGACGAAGCCCTCAATGAGGTGTGTGAGGATGTGAGGTCTAACGATGGCCTGTGAGGGCTGACCCTCGGGGTTCCCTGGAAGGCTGGCTGGGGGAGGCCTGCTGGTGCTTCTTACCGCAGAGGAGAGGAGGGGAGGGGGGGAACTGTTGGCATATGTGGGGTCCTCCGGTGACCGGATCACAGATCTGCTCGATGGAATGCACGGTTGGTCCGGATCGGCTATGGACAGAGCAGAGGTCAGGTTAGAGATCTGCAGAAGGGTGGGAGGACCACATCGGCAATCTTTGATATGGGTTCAAAGTACCTGTACAGTTTTCTGGTTGAGCTGTTACATCATCAGAGCTTCTCTGTGACTCGTCTGGTGGGGACAGTGGTGGCGGGGTGGACGCTCTGATATACTGAGGACAGTCGTGTTCTACATCCTTCAATAAATTCATGCTTCCACTCTCCTTCAACAATGGCATTGCCTGCCAAATTTCAGAATAAGCATAAGGTTTCAATTATATATGTGTGTGTTACAGAGTAAAATGTACTAAAATGAATAAATATGACATGACAAAATATTGACTAAATTCAAAGGATATTTTCCTCAAAAGTCAAAAACTATAGTAGGTAGTATGTAGTATGATGAAATATATATATTTTTTTCATTTAAAGGACATTTTTATTGAAAGACAAGAACCACGACTATAACAATCTGTAAAAACTGGTTCTGAAGAATAAGAAGTTGCTCTTTTCCATTCAACAATACACAACCGTTCCAAAGTTTGGGGTTGGTAAGATTTCTTCAAAAGAAGTCTCTTCTGCTTACCAAGTTCAAAAGAAAAGCATAGAAATCTAAACATTATAAATATCTTTACTGTCACTTTTGATCAATTTAATACATCCTTGGTGAATAAAATAATTAATTTCTTTAAAAGCAAAATCTTTCTGACTCTTCACTTTTGAACTGTAGTGTAGCCTCAAAGAAAACCCCAAAAAGCACCATTAACATCGTAAATTTCATATTCCCACTATTCCATATGCTGGTTTTCCAGTTTAGCCGCATTATAGATCAAACAAGACTAACCGAGGGAGCTCCTGTTTGTGTAGCAGGTTGCAACTTCAAGTCCACTGCCACTGTCTGTGGTGGAGGTAGATTATGAAAAGGCAACTGAACTACAGCTTCAGCGGCTGGGTGCTCCTCTTCAGACACCATGTGGTCAGACTGGACAGCTACGGTCTGAACTGAGCGTAAAGAGAGTCTCTGCGGCTGGACCGGCCTAGGCAGACCCATGGTGAGAGGAGGGGGACAGGCCAGAGGTGAATGCTGGGAGACCGGCTCTAGCACTGGGCCCAGATGAAGGGGTGGAGGGTCAGGGAGCGCTGCAGGAGGAACTGTGGACACAACTGCCGACTGATTGGCCGGTTGATTCACAGAGGAGGGCACTGAGAGGAAGTCTGTGTGCTGTGATTGGACAGTGGCTGTAGTGGGGGTGGTACGGGTCTGCAGGGCAAGGGGTG